AGCGTTGTACCGCAACCCCGGCAGCTGTCTGATGACCACCTGGGCCCTCTCGCTAGAGATGGGCGGACACATGCAACCACGCGGTATGGTTATGAGGCTAATGTTTGCCTGCTGGGTAATTTATTGCCTGCAGATCAGTACAGCCTACAAATCCTCCCTCATTAGCGTCTTGACTAATCCCCAACTTGAGCCTGCCATCTTAAACATGGAACAACTGGCAAAATCCGGCCTGAGGTTAGAATATACAGTCGGACTCTCAGAGTATTTTGACGACAGTGTAGATGTCAGCATGAGGCGGATTCGCGAATCCCTGCGATTTTGTGCCAATGTTACGGTCTGTCTGAATGAAGTAGCGTTCGCGGCGGACACGGCCCTGGTGTCCGACAAGTGGTACGTGGAATACCTCATTCCCCATCTGTACTTGGACAGTAGTGGGCAGCCTCTACTGCAGATCATGCCTCAGGATGTGCTGAGTTATCACGTCGTCATGATCGTATCTAAAGGAAACATATTACTTGATCGCTTCAACGCGCTCATATCCCGCGTTGTTGAGAGTGGCTTAATGGTAAAGTGGGCAAATGATATCAAACACACTAGAACGATAGGTAAGGTGTCCCAGGACGGTGTAAGAGGTCGCAGGCTCAGTTTATTTCATCTTCAAAGTTTGTTCGTCTTCTTGTTGCTAGGAGAATGTCTGGCTATAGTGACCATCATAATTGAAATCCTGATATCCAAAGCATTTTGATTATTTTATGTATAAATATGAGTAACACATTATTCCGCACCACAAGTATCATTGTATATGTTCATGTCTGTAAATACGTATCTTCAGGAACCAGCAAAATATTATTGTATGTTGACCTGTCTCTGTGCGTCCTGTTAGCATTTATTCAGATTACAAAAAGCACGTAATTTGATATGTGTTGCTAAGCTTAATGAAATGCCAATTATACCATATCCCCTTGTTACTAGGAAACGGCTTCATGTTTCAAATAGACGATTGTTAACAATGTATCGCTTATAACTAAAAACTTGAATATTAAAATATCTAAAACAATATACAAATATTTCCTATGATTGTATTACTCTTTTACAGCGAGGAAGGAGCATGAATTGAGGGTGTCTTTTACCAAATTACGTCAGATTATCAACTCCAGGTGGCTGAGACGTGAAGCATGATTGGAGAGATGAGAAGAACATAAAATATTTCAGGTCCAAGAATTGGTGAATTACAAATTAACCTAAGAAATAGTATTATGAGGATATGGGACAGGATTCATTTATTTCAGGATAGAGACAGCTCGTGGCCTATATGAGCAGGACAATGAGCGTTTCATAGAATGCGGAGAATTTCCTAGTTAACTGAATGACTGTCAGCTTTTCAGTTCAGACAGAACTGTTCCATTGAGTTAGTTGGCGTTGTTTCAAAAAGTGCTTTTGACTTCTTGTTTTACGAGCATAATAGAACGACAGGAATTGAATATGGCCGAGTCCTTCTATTATGCGTCCGCAGATGTGCATATTCTAAAGTCTCTGATTGTGGTAACGATAGGTGGTCATTAATGGAATGACGATATGGAACAAAAATATTAAATACTCGGAGAAAAGCCTGTACTTGACCAAAGTTCAGCGTAAATCATATGTATTCATTGCACACAGCTGGATTACGAAGAGGGAATCTAGGGATATGGAACGAAAAAAATGTGACTAATTCAATGATTCTGTTAATTTTTATGACACCTTAGTTTAGGGTCACTGGCGGATTTAACATTTTTGTGACTACCTCTAACGTTGTGATTCATTTGTAGTTTTACGTTAATAAATTAGATATTAGATAACCCCTGATTATGTCTAAAATTATCGCAAACGACTAGTAAATAAAGCAACTCATTTTATTTAACTCCCTGAGTTATAGCAAATGCAGACACACAAATTAAGCGGTTTTAAGAATGTAAAATTTGTCCTTATATGAGATATTACGTTCTCGCGGCTGTAAAACTATGAGTGTTGATATTCTGAGTTGTAACGCTATCTTCGGAGATCTGAAGATGAAGACAGTAGATATTAATTGATTTAATTGAAGTGATAGAAAGACATTGACAGAGAGTACGCATATTTGGTTTTCAATTTTACTATGCTGATAAAATAATATCTTTGTATTTTATCGAATATTTCACAGGCTGGTATGTCTTTAACACTTTCCTCTGCCACGTAGCAATTCTCTGATGGTAGAATTGTATACTCTCCAGGTTTACACACTAGAACAGAATAACAACATATACACTACAGTTGCTACAAGTGCAACGCAATTTATGATATGGATTGTGATTCATGTAATATTGGAGAGTAGAACCACTCAGAATATGACTGTAAGTCACAGCGTCAGTCGAAAAGATAATAAAACCCTACATTTCTGTATTCTTCGTATGCTGCATGCAGCATACAAAGAATTGGCCAGTGACATTCGTATAAAGTATGTATGAACATATTTTAAATTGTGTTCAGTGCACACCCTTAATCTGTATTACCAATAACCATTGCTCACGATTTCATTTTCTATATAGGCCTACATATGTATTCATTGAGTGTTTACCTGTTATAAGGGTTAAACAAAAAAACGTACATATGTCTTACAGGTCATTCCTTTACAAAACAGTTACCCTTTTATCCTTGTTCGGGAACAGAACTTGAGTAAATCATCAAAGTCTGAACCCTTAATGTGGTGATTTTAATTTGGAAAAATTTGTATTGTTTAATGTGTTTGTCATGAATTTATGGGCCTATAATTTTAGTGGTGAAATAAATAAAGTATAACGCTTAAAGTTGCCAGAAAGATTTCAAAATAATTATAATCACCGTCTTTATTAAACACCAGGTTTATTCGAAGTAGGTGTCCATTGTTTGTTTACAGAATTGAAAATAACAAGATTCTTAAAGCTGTAATATTTAAACTTTATCTGTATCTTCTGTCCGTTAAGCATAGGAAGGGATTAATATTATTTTCTGTCCCCAGCGCACGATGACAGTAATATTTAAAGTAAATATAGGCCAATGTCATTTTCTTCCTTTATTTTTGTTGTCTGCGGTTGCATGTGATAGCATGAAACAAGTAGTGACTTACGCAGAAGTTACAACTGACTTACACAGATACTTCAGTCACAGCTGCATCATCCTGATTCATACTGAAGCAGGTGTCAATGGTACGATAATTTCTGAATCACTACACACTTTACATTAACTCGCCCAGTTTACATTCAGGCATACTTAACTTTTGCACAAAGTGACCAAAACTACAGTATATACACAAAAGAATGGTGTGGTTTCAAAAGTTAATAACAAATTTATTTCTCACCTTACATGGGCACAACATACACCGTCAGCGGCGGCAACTGTCCAAGTTTCTCATGCGTTAATTATAATCCTTCAATGTGTGCACCCTGGGTCACACGATACACATCCACACGGTAATCAAACTCGTCCCATCCAGCGCTGTGGAAAGACACGATTGAGAAGCACTCGTACATTCCTGTGAAAATGGGGAGGGAGCTCCGTCAAGTTGTAGAATGCAATCGTCATAATTTGTATTCAGTTGGGGTAACAACCAGCTTTCCAACATGTCCAAAAATGAGTCGCCAGTCACAGTTGCACCATTCTTTTGTGTATACCCTATATTATAAGAGAGCCTGACGCTTCAACACCGCAAACACCAATGGCAGCCACTGGATACAATCTTGAATCAGTTTCATCCACCTTCCATTCTCACAACCAGTTTTTGAACATCCACATTAATGTTATTCTCCCATAGCCTCGGTCTTCCAAATGAACGTCTCTGAACAAGTTTCACTACTATAGTCATGTACCTTGTTTCAATATATTAACTGCATTCCCAGCCCATAGCAGCTTTCTAGATTTAACTAAAAGGTTACAGACAGTACAAAGTGGCCTGTATAAATCACGACATTTCTCGTTATACTCTATCATTAATCGTCCACTTACATAATTATTCTGAAGTCCACATATTTACTTAACCACTTTGTTTTCAAACATTTTCAATGAATGTTTCTTACTGAAAGTAGGAGACTAGTTTCTTACCCATATAACGCATAACACAAATAAGTACAGTAGGCGACTGTAATCTTGAGACTTGCAAGGAATGCAGGAAGTCCGTAGCGTTAAAGGCAGAAGCTATCTTTCCTACTTCCTCCTTCATCCCCTTCCGCACCCCGCAAGTCTCAAGATTACAGTCGCGAACTGTACACTGAACACTTTTGTCGTTATCTTCTGGTAAACATGAGTGAGCTTACCGAGTCACATCAATCCAGTTACGGAATAGCACCATGACACAGGCCTTGACCAATTTCATCCTTTCCTATAAATCATTTACATGCACGAAGATGGCTGTCTTCTGGGTTGTATTTCCCTGTAGTCCGGTAGAAGTTTACCAACGTTTCAGAGGTCATTGATGCCTCCATTATCAGGGCAAAAAATTCTTCCATTATCAGGACGATGAGTGACATCGCCCTGATGATGGAGATAGGAACGACCTCTGAAACGTTAGTAAACTTCTACCAGTCCACCCCGCGCTACGACGCAGAAGACAGTCATTATTGTCACCGCCATAGGTGCCTACACATCATTAATTGACAGAGCACAGCCCGACAAAATAAGCAACAGATCAATGAATATCTATTGAATGAAACTCTATATAAACCTGATGTGTATAATCTGTATATTACAGGATTCTCTGCTGAAACGGAACTTGTTTTAATCCAGAAGCATCTGTCAAGCCGAGGAGTTCCTGCAGTAACGATTTCAAACAGCTCCGTGCACAAGCTGGCGATGGTGAGACGCCAAGCAATCAACGTCTTGTTCAGGGGCACCGAAGATACTAAACGTTACATAAAACAAGCCACAGAGGTTAGAAAACGCACATATGACCACCTATATGAGTTTTCAAATCTCTTTAATTCAAAATTTGAACATCATTAGTATTACGCAACCAGCCTAGTGTCCGCAGAGTTACTAATGGGAAATTCGACAAAATATGACATATGATGTGAAGCTTTCCCAGCGGCTTTCATTAATAAAGTCTTCTCGGGCTATCAGCCGTGTTAGGTGGTGATTAATCGCCAACGTTTCGAGGACCATCTCTGTTCTCATTCTCAAGGCTGTTGACTGTGTGACTCGTAGCGCGAACTAGTTGATGACATGCTTACAAATGCGTAGCGTTGTTCTTCAGTCTCGTATAGTTGCTTAGCTACAGAAAAGATCGCCATTGAGACTCGAACCCAGGACAGTTTCTTTGGGATTTGGGCTTTTATTCGTGAATTCTCCTCGCCAAAAGAAATAACTTTGTTTTTGGGACCGTTTTTCTATCTTGCTTCGATTGCGAGCTACATAAACTATATTTATAGGGACTCGAACCAAGGATACATATAGACACAATACGTTACCGTCATCCAAAAATTGAATACACATTTCTCTTATTTGTTAGTACTTTATTAATTTATTATATCTTTCTTTTACCCATTTAGCCATCAACGGACAGGAATTTCTCAATTGATATCTGGGTATTATTCTTGGATGCCGAATCTCTTCTGGAGGAATTCTTCGCTGGTATATACATTCCTTTCGACTGCGAGTTCCTGGTTGCGCAGATAGAAGATAAATACGTTTCACTGACCGAAGTGTACCACATCGGCCCTGCACGTCCCCTGCAAACATACCGTTTTGGGACATGGACTGCTCGAAGTGGCCTCGCCTGGCGTTTAATCGGTTTCTTCAGGAGGAGATACAATCTTCAAGAACAACTAATAAAAGTTGCTTATGTGGATGTAAGTTTTAAAGCTAATCAGTATTGAAAGTTATATTGCAAAAAAATGTTGTACTTCTGGAAATATTTTCACAAACATGTATAATTTCATATAATGTAGACAATTAATCTGATCTGTGAATATTACTGTCTTCTGGCATGTTGAGCTTTGTAGTCTCGGAGAAACTGACCGGCATTGCAGATGTTCTTATTATCTCCGTTATCAGGGCAATGAGGTTTCTTTCTTTCCAATATTTGAGCTGATGACTTTTGAATGTGACTGCTAACCATTACGCGGACGTTATTCGGTTGTTAAGTAGCTGTTTAAGTTGGTGGATGTAGTAAATTTATATTTTAAAAATTATTATTAACTAATTAGAAATGGGTTTGTAAATGGTGGCATAAATCCGTAGTCCTAAAATTTTCATATGGCTTCAGTGATTGTGCCAGCATGCTAATAATTTGAATTATTTTATTATTTATCACCTTCAGTTTACTCTTTAAAAACAGCCAAACAATTCGTGAAAGCATTGTTTAAAGTAAAAACCTGCGCATTACATTAATTAACTTTTTTCCCCCGGACTAACAGCAGAAACACGCCCTCACAGAGACGCACAACAATGGATCCAAGAAGATCACTGGATTCTTTGTCCACGTTTGGAACACAATTGCTAATTTTCTCAACATGAAGTAAGTAATACGGACTTGGTACTTATTTGGAACATATTTTCTGTCTACTACTTACCATCTTTAATCAGAAAAAGGCTTATATCTGACCTATAATAAAATAACTCTCTTATCGCTGTCTCTTCGCTTACAGACATTTCCACAAACTTTCATAATTAAAACACTAGCACAAACGCTGCATTTGTCTATTACATGCAGAGACACACGAGAGAAAATTAAATATGAGGAAGTAAACATTGCCAGACTTGTGAAAATGCCTTATCTTTAACGAGTTATTATCTTTATGGTGTGAAAATAACAGAACTAATTCCTCGCTCGTGGTTTTCATATTGGAGGAACAAAATTATTTTAATAAAACGTGCGCATGTGGGACCTATTGCTTAATAATTGAGGTTGTGCGTTGCTTTTCAGAGCTGTGTGCCAGAGAGTTGACACTTACGGTTCAAGAATGGAGAATGGGTCATGGAACGGAATAATACAAATGGTGATTAGTAACGAGGTCCACGTCGGAGTGGGTGACTTCACCGTTACGGCAGGCAGGTCTGCCGTGGTGGACTGCTTAGCCCCTCTGATAATCTCCAGGTTAGTCCGCGAGGCTCAAAACAGGGTCTAGTGGCAGGCTTCTTTGAGTACGCTGATGAGACTTATGCTTTCAAAAAACCTTGGAATATGGTGGCCGATTTAATAATCGTGGGAGAGTTTTAAAGTTGTTCTTAAATTCAAAGGGTGCTGGGAGGGTATGAAGTGCCTCCATGTGTATTAGAATACATGAACGATAGCAGATTCTTGTGAAAACAGGAATGACCTTTAGTGCCCCATTAAAGGCGGGGGATTTATTGATAAACTGAGCAAGTATTTTGCGAAATTTCAGGTTTTAATGGCGGCTAGTATAAAGATGTCTTCTTGGTTATTACGCCGTGTAGTATAGTAGCAGGCGTAGCCCGGACGATGGATGCAGCAAGCGCCTCTGAAATGTCGGCAAACTTCTACCACACAAGAGTACGAAACAGCAGTTCAGAACGAGGCGAGTTTTGATTGCATGGAATCCTTAACCGCGTACCTTCTCCTAGGCCATACATTCTACGTTTACATTTATCAAAGGCAATGTGAGTTGGAGTCTTCAGTAAATGACATACGTAGAAGAAAATGTCTGCCGAACTACGAGACTAATAACAAACCAATGACAATGAAAACAGTAAAAGAAGGCGTATTGAAAATAGGGTACTCCGAACAATTTATACGTTTTCACTGCCTGGTTTAACTTTCGTTTCAGCCTGAATGTGTTCATTCGGGTCCCTGATCAATCTGGGATAGTGGTCTGGGGCCGGTATGTTGCTCCCTTCAGCCTGGGTCTTTGGGTAGCTGTAGCAACGGCAGTCTGCGCTCTCAGTTTCTGTCTGTGGCTGACCGCCGCACTTCAAGCCCGAGAGAAGAAATTTGCAGCTACTGAGGCGATGTTTTACGTCTTTGGAACTTTGTGTCAACAAGGCCAGTTTTTATTCAACTTTTGTAGGTTACTTCACAGTTGTTTCATATGTACGACTATGCAGCATCAAGCAGCGCATGGAGAAATACAAGTGTTTATTGCAATAGTGACCTACATAACCGAACTTGACCGGGCAGCTTTATGTAGGTCTTACAGTAATGCTCTAGAACTCTGTTCACTAGTTACCTGACTCATATCCCTATCGGATTATTAGCTCTATTGACTGATGTTTGCCTTGGTTTCACCTACTGTCACCAGGTGAGTATACTTTTAAAACTTCCGTGATGGCTTTTTCCCCCCACATCAATTGGAACACGTGATTCGTAATTAAATAGCCACATCATTCGATGGCACAAAAACCAGTACAGTGGAAACAGCACTGTTAAGTGACCCATAATCAATAAGCCAATATTTTAGAATTCACCTGAGATGACTGAATAGATTTATTGGTAAAAGAAGTTCTTGTTCACTGACACAAAATTGTCCTACATAATAAGTAGTTTGCAATTGATATCTAATAACTAATATATGCCTAATGTAGACTCATTTATCTTCACCCCTTTGCTTTCATCTTGTCTGTATGGTAATTGCTGGGACACCACATAGGGTACGATGTATAAAGCAATCTATGTCCACCATTTCTTCTCCTCTAGACAACCATATGTGTATTTTTCACAAAGCGACCTAGACCGATTTGAGATTTGTAGGACGTATCGTCATACTGCTCCACAGGTATGTGTTATAGTATTATTTAGTTTGTAGGAAATATTTTCATTAATAAGTCGGTAATTAATTTTTCGTTTCTTTCAGAGCTCTAATTTATACGTGCCAGTTAAAAGGTTGATGTGTTATGTTGCTGAAAATTATTATTTTGTTTATTAAACGGTCATGTAGAAAATCAATCTAATATACAAGTAGCTACAGCTGTCAAAGTCGAGGTATAAGCCTGCAAGCAATAGTTTATTCGATTATTTTTGTACAGCATAATTTATGAAACCCCCGGGTAAAATACTGATATTTTTATGAAACTAATTGAATAAGTAATTAAATATTTATTGGAAAGATAATGGTCACTCAGGTAGAGGAAGAAACTTCTAGCATTTGTGGGACGTGTTTTCGCAAGAGCACTAGTCTGAGCCAGATGATTCCAGTCCACAGATTCGTATCTTATTCCCTCAAGATCCATGCTAATATCATCCTCCCATTTACGCCAACTCTTCTTATCAGGTGTCCTGGCTTCAATTCGTGATGCAGTATAATCTTTGTTTTGCATTCAGTAAGTTTTCTTCGCCTTGTACAGGTCAGCCGGACTCAGCTGTTTGCACAGCAGTGCGTGCCGTAGAGCTGACGTCCTATATGACGTCATTGGTGCTATTCGCCGGTTATTCTGCGTATCTCGTCTCCAGTCAGACAGTGCAGCATACAGTTCTGCCATTCAGGAGCCTGCAGGGTCTCCTGGAGGATGGCTCGTACGGCCTGGGCCTCGCCCAGAACTCCTCACACCTCAACTTGTTCGATGTAATTAAACAATAGGGACATCTTCCGTCGGCGACTCATGATACTCAGACCTTCTAAATCATCGTAATCAGAGTCACTAAAATTTTATATCAGTATTGGTAAACCTCGCAAGAGAAGGGCACATTATACTTGCGAATAGAGTACCTATTTCTTATAAAATTTTGCATCTTTACCAGACATCTACCACCTACTGCCTGCCCTATATAAGGCCCTCATAAGCTCCGAATCATTACACATTTACCCCTACGATGGCAACTGGAATGTCTGACGAAACGTTGGATAATTCTTAACGTTCGACGCGGCTTATCCCTTTAATCCCCTAAGTTGGGTTCCAGCCACGAAAACAACAATGAAATGAGATTTAATTTTGAAATTAAGTACGTGTATTACTTTCATGGCAAATATTTACGTTCCAAAAAAACACTTCACAATCACTCGGCAGATTCTGAAGTTTCTGATAATGTGTTGCAGGCAGAAACCGAAGGACTCAAAAGCATCGTTTACAAGACACTAATATCACCACACAAGAACGATATGCCTGCTGGAAATTTAGAAGGCTTCACAAGAGTCTGTGACAGTAGGCATAAATATGCTTTTATGGCTTCTCTCTACGTTGGACAATACTGGGCAATGAAATTGCCATGTCACTTCACAACACTTCCAGACACTTTCTACCCGGAATGTCTAACGTTCGTCATATCAAAGAACAGCCCCTACAAGAAACTCATCAACTGGAAGTGAGTTTTCTGAGTATGAATCATTCTGTTTCTATCAATACGTCCAGTTGCTATGGATCATCACTTTGATTATTGTCCCTTTATTTGTACATACATCGGAAACACTTTGGTAAAATTAAGTATTGCTTATCGTTGGAGTAGTTTCAGAAGATTACATAATATTGTAATGCAGTAACGCTGGTTTTAAAATCACTCTTAGTTACTAATAGTGATAAGTTAACTCGCAAAGTTTACATTCCAAGTTAACAATTATTCCTCAATTGTCTTCAGAGTACCAGCATTTCTTCCAACATCAATGTTTTCCAAGATAAATTCTGAAACAATTAATTAAATAATCCATGTAGGACAGCCCTTCTTTAAAAACTAATAGTCGCTCAGTTGGTAAAAATGTTTCTGCTCGTTTTTGAAACCAAACCTGAAGGTACATTATTGTGTTTACAAAACCCCTGCCATATGTTCCTGTCAAGAGTCGCATGAGCCCAGTACACAACTTCATAAAATGACTTTAAGCTCCGTTTTAACTTTGTACTCCCATCTACTCCTAGGTGTTCCAATTGGTCTCCTCTCCCCAAGACTTCCTACGAAATCCCTGTAAGCATTTCTCTTTTTTCATGCATCATTCATGCCCAGCGTCGAATCTCAGACATCATGATACATCGCCACCGAATTACATTCTAAATGTTATTAGTTCTACTCCTTCACGGGCTTGTGCAGCACCATCATGGTATTTTTCGCGAGAATGTAGAGAAATGCCGAAGTGTTTAGGGGAGACTAGCCTAAAATATCTTGGCTGAATAAAATTATGTATTACTTTAAATTTGGCTCTGGTAAGTTAGTTAAGCTAATACTCAACATCAGTCAAAGAAGGCGTGTTGGCAGGGCCGGTTTTTTTTAATGTTTCTATGTGCAAAAAGAAAGATTTCCTACGTTTCGCTTACGGTTTTACAGTAACAGTGTGTCAGCATTCACAGCCTGAAATTTGTGATCAGTTTACTGAAACAGTTATCCACTGAAGACTTTGAAAGTAAGTCATAATTCATACTAATTGCTTCGATGAGTTTTTCTTGTGTTTATAGGTTATTGTTTAGTAAACAGGGCAACCAACTTCGGAGTAACGACATTCTAGGTTTGTGTGTGAATTGTACGCACAGACCTAACAGCACAGAGAATTTTCCACTGTTAGTCGATATGTTTACTCGCTAACGCTCGATTTTGATATTTCAAACTGTATTATGAGAATGTACTGCATTTATTCGTCGGAAGGTGGTGCTTATACTCTGTTATATTGCTTCTTCCTGTTTCTCTTCACTGTGTTTACTAAGTTGTTTATCATTGCAAAATTACACGTTCTTTAGTCTTTATTTGCGAAAATAACAGCAGTTTATGGGAATAATGTATACAATAGCGAGTAAGGTTATGGACTGGATTTACGTGACCCCGAAAACATCAAGTCCAGGATTCTTCTAAACATAATAATGAACCATCGGACCCGTAAAATGTTGGGAACTTCTTAATCAGCTGAGCGAATATTAACTTCTGAAGGAGGACTCTACTCCACGTCTGTATTGGAATAATTACGTAGCATTTTCTTCCCACAGCTTGTTACGTCTTCGAGAGAGTGGGATTCAGGACAGAATTCGACAAGAATACCTTCCACCGAAGCCCTCATACGTAAACAAATCAGTAATAAGTGTCGATATAATATCTGTGGCTCCAATTTTAGTTGTGTTTTTTGGTGGCGTAGTAACAGCTGTGGCAGTGCTGGCTATTGAGCACATTGTCTGTATTTGTCTACGGCAGTTGGATTTCTTTACGACACCGCGAAAATCGAAGACATTTTTACTATAGATCAGGGTGGTTCAAATCTTTTCTTCCCTTGGTCCAAGAATAATTTCACCATTGGATTCAAGGGCCAAGAAACCCGTCCTAGCACTGTTTTGAAAACTAATAGTTAATTTTCATTATCTTTAAAATACTTGTTTAGAAATGGCAAATTACTAATATGCTAAAATATAAATATTATTAAAATGTGCAGAAATTGATATCAATTTAGACCTGCATATTATTTTACGTTTAATACTGCAACAACTTTTATCTGTCACAGTTTTTACCTGCAAAACTTAACATTTTACGGTATGGTTTAAAATTCATATTTTGTGTGGAATATGTATGTAAAGCAGCAGACGAGATAAGAATCACAATCTTTTTTTTCAAATCTTTCTGAGTGAATAAAATAAATGAGCTTCTAATACGTGGTAATAAGTAACAAATAATTTTGCGGAAATGATCCCCAATCGATTCTGTTAAGATTGTAGATGAACTAACAATTCCTCAGCAATATGTCGTTTTACGTTAGTAATATTCAACAGATTAATCCTGCCACAAGACTGCAGCACAACAAAACATAGAAAAAGAGACAAAAGTACAGCAGAATTGTATTTCAGGGTACGTCCTGATTTTCTACTGTTCAAATGATGGACAAAGTACAAAAAACAATTTGTCAAAATATGACGCATAACTGCCAAACTTCAAAATTCGAAAATGTATTTCTTCAGAAACTACTTCATAAACTTGTGGTCTTAATGTGCTGTACCTGGACGACATGAATTATTCTGCTATAAGCCTCCGTCTATTTTGCCTTCGCTATAAGAGCTATTAATAGTCTATCTTAAACGTCGGCCACTCCCTACCGGACCTACGTATATCGATTTATGGCGCTGCTGTTGAGGTCAGAGTACTGAAGCTGCAGTAATTCATTATTGCCGTGTTAGATCTGAATCTACTGAAAAACTGTTTTCTCTTATCCATTACTTATTAAGTGCTTGTGGCCAGAATTTGTTTCTGAGTTTCCGTTATTAATCGTCGTCTCACTTAATTGATGGTGGTCTAATGGGGACTTTATGAGATATGATGGCTTGGATAATGGCGAGGCGTCCTTTTCTAGTTGTTAACAGTCCGCAGTGCTTCTTATCCCACGCAAGTTAAGTAATTTTGTGAGGTTAAAGTCGACTGCTTTCTGTTGTGTTCTAATATTGTGATTAAGCTGGGACGAATCTTTCCCTGTAGTATTATTATTAATTAATTATCTTAATAAGCATGTGTATTACTCAAATATTTGAATGTTATAAAATTGGTACACGTAAATAAGAAAGTATAATCCCAAATGTTTTTGCAACAAGAGCAAGAAATATTATGAATACAATCCTGGATTTATTTCTTTTTTCGTGTAGGTTAAGACAGATAAGAGAAGGAGAATATTAATTCTCAGGACGCATTTATGATCCAGTTTTAAAGGCATGCTTCCATGTTTCTTGATAAAGGCTCCAAATATTGTATCGACATTGCAGTTAATTTATGAACGTAGCTTAATTTGTAATATATTATATGGGTTTATTAACTGATTGTTTACCCGCCTCTGAAACTAAAGTCTAGGTACAATTTGGATAATCTTGTAATGACAAAAGGAATGTCTGAAAGAATTAAGACGATAAGAGAACGTGACATATAACATAAAACTACATGATGATTGCATGAATTAGCAACACAGTTTAACTACGCAAGGTATTTGACTTAGAATGATATAAGAAGATGGTAATAAACACTTTGGTTTATGAGAAATGGGAAGGAGAAAGCAGTCCCCTACTGTGAAGTAACAGAAATTGATTTAAAAAAAAACAGGAATTTTCAGTCAGAGTAGAATGTTATCTCCTGTTGCCACTACAGTAACCTGCTTTTTGGGAGAAGTAAGAATTTTATAAATTAAGGGTCGTCTTGATCAAATAGGCAAAATTATACGCCATCTTAAATCACAAAATTTATTTCTCTGAGTCTTTTGCGTGTTAATACAAAAATTGTTATATTACCTACCAAACAAAGTTATATATTTGTGTCGAAAGGAAATGTCTACAAAGATAACCAACTATAAAACAGCACAGTAAAGGTTCCATAGAATGCCACTTTACTCTTTACTACATTCTTAGGAGACGAAAAAAATGACATCTTTAACTTAAACTTAGAAACAACCTCCTTTCTTTATTTTCTGATAAGCTATGGGATATTGTAAGCATACAACACAGTTCTTAGTTCATGTCAGACGAATGTAATTCAGAGATTAAAATCCAGTAGATAGTCCTATTTTAAGTAACCAAGAAAATTATTTAATCAGCTGGGATAAATAAACAAGGTTACACAAACTATGCCGGTGGTAGGCCTACATAAAACTTTTCCTACAGATTTACGATAGCTCATGCAAACTATAACCAGATTATGTTGAAGCTTTCGTCGTATCTGCCTGCAGTTTGTATATACCTAGTTATTGATATTTTACACTAGCCATTGGAAATTAAATTCGGCCATTTCAGTTGTTTGCACACCTGGTACCCCCAGTGTATAGACAGGATTTTCATTCAATTTAGCTCCACAACTAAACCCAAGGAGCAGAGTTCTTCCTGATAAATCGACAGGCACTCAGATGTACAAGAATTTTCACCATTTTTGTGATTCGAAGTTCCATTATCGTCTCCAGAAGATCATTTCACTGGACTTCATCTTGAAGTAGACAAACCCGGTCCATATCACCACACCCGTTTCCTTTGTGAACCATTTTAATATTGACCTTCCATCTACACCTAGGTCTCCCGCGTGATGTCTTCCCTTCACGCTACCCGACTAAAATTATTGTTTCTTTCATGCGTGCTACATGTCCCTCACATCACGTTTCTTGACTTCATCACTTTGATGAAAATTACAAATTATGAAGGTTTTCGTTATACAAGTTTTTCTTCGATTTCTGTCTTCATACTCACCGCTGTGAGAACCTCAAGTCTTACAAGTTTTTCTTCCTTCCTGTCTTAGGTCAAAATATTCTCCTCAGCGCTCAGCGCCCTAATCTCAGACACCCTCAGACAGAAGTTTTTGGGGTATTAGTCAATACCAATACAGAAGCTGATAACACTAGGCCTATTCGATAGCTACGTATGTGATATTTTTAAAACACTTGTACCTCGTGAGAAAAGTTGCTGTGAAATTATTTAAGATATAAAGGACCCTATTGTTATTATTATTGTTATTATCATCATCATCATAATAATCGTTATTGTGGTTTCCATTGACAAATTGGTTGCTACTGCACTTGTCTTAGTCGTACGCCGTAAGACAAAACTATGGGAGGTACTGAGAGTGATGAAACAAAGGAGACGCATTAATCCAGTAACAGCGACTCGTGTATAATGTGCGAACTTGGTGATAAACACGCACCAACCCTGAAGAGCTGTGTTCATAAACTTTCAATTTAAGTAGTTGGAAGCACGCGAGTGGATATAATTTAATAGAAGTCGGGTAAAATGTCAAAGGTCTCTAAGTTTTGGTGAATTCAGACAAGATTCCGGAACAGAATAATTGTGCGGTCTCAGTAGAACGGGAGTTACCTCCTCCTGTTTGTATTTAGGTTCTTTAAAAAAATTCATTTCAAATTCATACGATTGCATAGCATCGTTATGAGAAAATTTCGGTGTAGATACGTATAATATAATTTGTTAACAATAATACAATATTCTTACTACAGTACAGGTTTCAGTTTCATGCTTCTCCCATATTTCAATATTTAAAAAAATAACTATTCTGTGATCTAACATAATATGCTGTTTTACACGCTGTGTTACAATAGGGAAAAATTTGAATTGTATACTCAGGAAGGAGCGAAGGCAAAGTTAGGTTGAGTAAGCAAGTAAAATTGTATTTCGTGTTTAAATCGTTCTTCGTTATTTTAATTAATTTATTTTGTTTGTATTATTCTTTATTTATGCTTGCTCATAAAAACATCAAGGATTCATACTTTAATTTTTTGCCCTAACTTCATAAAAAGATCAAAGATTCATACTTTAATTTTTTGCCCTAACGCAGAACTAAAATGGTTTGCTAAAAGTGACATAATGCCGATGGTCCATACTCCTTACCATCTATTATTAAGATGATTAAAGGAATTACTCTGAAATAAGCTGGGGAATATCTTGTGTGGGGGAAACAATAAACTCATAGAAAAGCCAATACAAATAAACATCTCATAAGAAAGATGTGGGATAATATTAAATGAGTCTTTTAGGACTGCATTGTCAAAATATAAACTGTATTTAACGGGCTAGTGTTTTTGTTATGGCGATTATGAATGTTATAATTTTATAACAGCCAGGAATGAGTTCACCGTCCAAGCAACAGTAGAAAACTCACGAAATACAGATCGCCATGCGGTTATTTAGATTTTCTTTGTAATTTTAATATGATACAACGAATCGTTTTCAGCTACTGGTTTAGACATGGGAATGTATGTCACTGTTTTCGGTTGTATTGGGGGGGGGGGGGGGGGATCTTCCCTTCGACGCCGGTTGCCTGGCAATCGATTAACATTATGGCACACATTGGTTACAGAATAAGAGCAAGAACTCTATATTAACTCAAGTCCCGTCGTTCCCTTGATTAAATCTTTATACACTCTCTTTGCCAACATGATGTATTCTTCAATATCTTTCGCAGTATAAATTCGTCTATGCATACACAATTTCGAAACCTTTATGTTATCAGTTGTACTTAAATAAACTAAAACGAAGCTTCTATTCTTTGGCCCGACACTAGATATAGTGAGCTGTAAACTTCAAGCTCTCGTCACTTAATGTACGTTAGAGCAACACACGGTAATTACTGAGAAGAATTCTGGCGCGTCAGTGAAAAGAAGAGATCCAACCGTCCAGGACTTCCTATCGATAGCCAGTCTCTTGCCGAATGGGATAACCACCGGATAAAGAAAAACAAATTGAAGAAATAGATTTTAAACTCCATGCAGTTGAGTAATTTCATGTTACATTCACTCAACATGTGCTTTATTCTCTTTTATTCGCAAGATTAAATAACTTTTAATGACGACAGACAAAGGCATCCCTTTCTGTTTTACAGCCGCTGAGGCACACTGACTTCGTCTCTCACTGCTGTGTAATAGTAACGCGGCATGTGGACAGCTAGTGCCTTGCTCTTCACGACAATTCTGTTCTGGAGTGCCGGACTGGACCGCCAACGTCTGAAGAAGATTGCCGAAGTAGTATTTACAGTTCAGCGGCATTTGCACTCAGGATGTGTGTCGCTGTTACTTTCCTCAGCATTAGAGGGTGAGTGTCCGACAATTCTCTTAAATGCCCCAAGTTCTAGCGTCCAGAAGTGAAAATGGGTACCAAAAGTAGAAATATCGTCATTTTGTATGTTTTGTTAGACCCAAACTTTCCAGATTTCGCTTTAGAGGTTAGAATTTTTTTACATTCCCAAAATTTGACGCATGATTACAAAACTAGGAAACTTTAAAATTTAAGGTTCTTTTACAAAATTTATGGCAAACGAAACGGGTATTTTCTCTAGAGCTGTCACACAGTTTTGAATCATAGACAGTGTGGTACTAAATAATATCGCCTAATTCAGACACAACGTTTTATTTCGATCAAAAATTTGTTTTACAGATCAACAAATCATAAAATGTGCACGAAATATCTTCTTTCTTTTCCTGTTTGTTTATCCCATGTTGTACTTGTTTTCCAATAATTTTTTTCTTATCCTCTATTCATTCTCCCTGCCTGTATGTTCCCATTTAGCTTTAACTATCGTTTTCTCGTTTGTGACGTTCAAGTTTATTGTCTTACTCTTAATATTTACTTTTTACATCTGCACTACGATTCTATAACTGATCATAATGCTTTGTTCCTTTCATTTATTTCTACTTCAATCCATCATCTAATCTGCATCTGGGTTAATTACTATCATACATTACTTTTAAATATTCCCTTAGATTCCGTAATTTCCTTGTATCAATTGTAAACAAATCTTTGTTTCTGATTTGGCTAGAGACTTATATTAGTATATACTGAGCACGTGTGTGGTTGCCATGTAGTCAGTTGTCTCTGTATTGGCTAGGAACTAACGCTAACCTCGTGTTAGTGAAGTTGCTGTCTGCAAAAGGAATTACCACTACGACATTGTGCATCTCGACTCTGAACGTCACACATGACGACACAAATTGCCGACTTAATCGCCCCCTTTACGTCATGACACACGATGCAACGCTGGAATTAAAACAAGTGAGTCTGTACAGTAAACCAGTAGATTAATATTTCTTAATAATCACACACAGAAACAGTGAATTTTTACTTGTATACCAGAGATCTATTTAAAGACGCTCGGAGTTGAATTATGAACTGCGAATCGAAAATGACGAAAAAGAAGCTGTAGATCCTAAACTCGAACCGTGTGCCTGGTGTTACAGCTGACAGCCACAATGAGTCCCACGGGTCCAACGTGGCTTTTGTTCTCGGACTCTGCGCTGAAGCTGGACCATCTTTTCACTGATGTCTATATCCCATTGGACTGCGAGTTTTTAGTAGCACGCGAGGATCTAGCGGGAAACGTAACACTGCATGAGGTTTACCGGATGAATAGGACAATGCCTCTTATGAACCTCCAAGTTGCCGTCTGGAGCCCCCAATTTGGTGTCTTGTGGGATAATAGATCGCTGTACGATCGGCGAAACAACTTGTATGGCGTCACCAATGTCTTGTGGGATAACAGATCGCTGTACGAGCGGCGAAACAACTTGTATGGCGTCACCATCAAAGCTACAACATTTGAGGTGAAACTGATCTGAAAACACGAATTAATTTGCTGCATCTATAGTCTGACATAACGAAGACAAAGTGTTGTAATAGTGGTAACTGATTGAAGGGGTTAAGTAAGACGTGCTGAAGATAGCATTTTTACTTTTCTCTGAAATTCCTGCAGCCATCTATAAGATTGCATTGTTCAATTGTTTAAAGGGAATTATATATTTGGTATGTAATTACTTAATAAAATTTCAGGATCTCGCATTTAAATGACAATAATTGTGCTCCCACCTCAGAATTTCGCACCATCTTTGATCGATGCTATTCCGGGTAAAAGGTACAATGATAAATTTATGATATAATTCGTCAGTTGGTTTCAAAACCTATTAGCTGGAGACAGACATTCGAGTGATCACACAGACATTCTTATACCACAAGCCTGTGGATTTGCTTACAAAATGTAGGAATCGGGCTCAGGTATTATGCTTTTTTCTCTCTTTTAGAATCCGCCTAATGTTGAGCCAAAGTACAACGCAGACACTGTAGAGATCGGAGGAACGTTTGGAAGGGTGTGGTCCATCCTTTCAGAAGAACTGAACTACACGTGAGTAGATACAGCGAAGCGCAGGTAATGAAGCTCTCTGTTATCACCACATGTTAGAAACAAATGAAGATAAAAACGATCTAGCCGTTAAAGCTGTCTACTTAGAAAGGTTCTTGTTATTTTTGGAGCCCTAAACCTTTGTCAGGCCTGAGTGATAATATATTTAATGTTATATTGCGTACTTCAGGAAACAAGGCTGTTTTACGATTTTGAAAACAAATTCTGTGTCAAATTAATTTCTTTAAAACGTCTATCGTAGAATGTCAGCTATACTAATAATAGACGTAGCGTTTTACAAATTCAATTACAAAAATTACATATAATTGTTTATAATTTTATAAATAAATTTTCAGACGAACAGACACATGTCACTGCAAATCAAATCTGTACCAAAACTATAGTTTCTTGAGTGTAAACATTTCGTCTTGGGTCTGATTGTTGTTTCTTGATGAGAGTTAAATAATCAGTGTGTCAGAATTCTTACGCGAGTGCACTAAATTGTTAAGTCACACTATTGAAGCGTTATTGTTAGTGAGGGGAATTATATCGTGAATAAATACTAATTGAATGAACGGCTGTAAACTGCGCTTCCCGAACTACAACATCAATACAACAGCGATTTTTTTAGAGGATCTGACGGAAGTTTAGCTTAGTTCAAATGCCCGACCTTTTAACTGTTTGAACTGTTCAGTTCCTCGGTAAAATGTGCAGGACTTAACTTGTAGTAGGGAAGTGTCGTATTCCCACGGTGTGTACAACAGACTCATTGCTCAGTTCAATTACTTTGTGCATTTATTTATCGCAGTTGAACTGCGCTTTTTAATTGATCTTTGGGGCACTTGATAGACATTTCAGTTGTGAAAAGTTGGGTGAAAAAGAAATACGGTGCTTTAAAACACGAAATATTAAAAACTTAGCAGTGTAAGGTTAAAAAAGTTCGAATTATTTGCATGTAATTATGACCAGTTTTCCTGTTTCGTGCTGACATCAGAACTGAAGTGTACTTGCCGGAAGTCAATGGAGCGGGCGCATCGTCCGGAAACGGGACTTGGAGCGGAGTGATACAGCTTCTAGTGGATGGGACGGTGGACGTTGCTGTGGGAGATGTCACCATGACGTCTCACCGAGCCTCTGCCATCGACTTCAGTGTGCCTCTGTTAATAAGCAGGTACAATAGCAAATTTTGTTGTTAATATTAGAGTCTTTGTGAATTTAGTGTCTTATGAACGCACCATCATTATTGGCTATATTCTGTCTGAATGGACGTGATGAATTCAGTGGGAAGGCCATGACATTGGAAGTAATTCTGAATACACGTTTTTCATCTTGGTTTTCGAGGTGTAGTAATAGAGAGCTGTGTGAACTGTTGAATTAAGCAACGCTTAGGTCTCTTTATCAGAATCTTGTCAGCTACAAGTCTCCGTGTAACTATTTGTGTTTTACAATCGTAGAATTCGTATTAGCCTCGACAAATTTACGGTATGTGATAAAAGACTAGGTTTATAATATTGGTAAGATGGAGATACACAAACTTGAATTGAAAGATTTGTTCTACTTTCACGTGGCTGCTGAGACAAACTTTAATATAACTTCTTTTTTAAATTATTATGATACTTTTAAATGTACCGCACAAGAAGCATTCATGGTGAAAAAACATTCAACTGCTAGTCTACTTGGAAGACTTCACAGAGAAGATAATATTAAATTTAATCATTTGAAAATATGATGCTGATCTCTTAGGATGCTGCTCTGTGTAGTCTGGTAGAAGTTCACTGAAGTTTCAGAGATTCGTCTGCATCATCAGGGCGCTGAGAATTGTGCTGACAATTTCAGACAAATTTGCTCTTTTAACGAGTTAAAAAGGAATTTCGACCCAGAGTGGTGGTGACATACAATAAACTGTTCTGTACAGAGTCTGCATCTTCATTCGAAGACCCGAATCTTCCTACCAAGCGCTGAATAATATCTTGGCTCCATTCAGCTCCGAACTGTGGTTCACCATTCAGGGGGCGATGGTTGGCCTTGCAGCTTGTCTGTCCCTTGTTTATCACGTGGGGCGAAGGTATGATGGCCTCGAGAGACCGGATCTCTACACGCTGCCACAAGCACTGCTTTGTGTTTTCGAAATATTCTGTCAGCAAGGTAAATACCATCCTAAGACACGACCTCATCACTTCATAGCTCTCTCATATGAATCATCCTGAGACAGGGTAGATGCATAACAGTTCAAGATTTATTCTTTACAGTAATTATATCGATCAAACATGTTCTGTGCGGGATTAGAGATACGTAACTTGGGGTTAGGACCAACAGAAGAGATCATTTTTTATCCGTTTCATTATGTCAAATCTCACATCTTTCTATTTGTAACTCACTGGCATTTGATTCTGGTAAGCCCACGCAGTTCTGAGTGTCGTTAAATAAGCCATGAAACAACAAAGATGGCTGTCTTTTGAAATGTTGCGCCGTGGTGGTGGATGCAGTAAGCAGCTCTGAAACGTCTGTCAGTATGCACGAAGCCTGCGTGGCTCAACCTCCCAGAAGTCGGCCATTTTCATATTTGTCACCATGCGAAACTGGTACCTCTCCAAAATAAGATTGAATCATAAATAGCAGTGATCTCCACGTTCTGCCCGTAGGCCACGACGAGACGCCCCGCTCATGGTCCTGCCGTCTCATATACTGGGTATCCTACATGGCAGCCGTGGTGCTGTTCGCCGCCTACTCTGGTGCTCTGGTATCGTTCCTCGCCATGCAGCGCGTCGAACCGCCCTTCAGAACGCTCAGAGGCCTGATGCAGCATGGCGGCTATCGCGTAGCCACTGTGGCCAACTCGGCGCACTTCAACAGCTTCGACGTCAGTAACTGCGCAATAATATATATAATATATATATAAAATATATTTAAATTGTCTATAATGGATAGTTTTTAACCGATTGAACCTACTTGGAAACAACGTTTGACTTAGAATGAAAAGCAAATAAAACAATTAATTTTTCGAGAAATAGCTCAACTGGTTAACCGTCGCAGAGTCTGGGGGTTTGCCCCCAGAACATCTTGTGGGATTTGTGGTGGGCAAAGTTGCACTGGGACAGATTCCCTCAGTTTTTCTGTCTTCCATTGTCAGTATCTTTCCACCGATGTTCCATTTTCACCCATATATCAACTGGGGGTTGTACAAAGAGCCCATCAGAGACAGTTCCATAGAGACATAGTCTTATCCGATTACAACAGCAATAACAAAAAACTAGATTTTTAATTTAGTGACTGACTAACCAACCAACACCTCACTCCTCACTCTCTGTCAGTCAACAAGTCAGTCACTCTCCGTATCACTCTCGCTGTCACTCACGCACTCTCTCTCACTGTCACCCAATCTTTCACTCACTCACAACTGAATTTATAAAACATTCATACTATGAACAAGATAGTCTGCCACTTAGCAAGTACATGACCTCAATTTATATTTAATCTATTTAATTTAATTTACAGTTAAAAATCTTAGTACATTTTACTTCTGTCTCTATTTGAACACCTGACTTAGTACACAGGGTCAATGTTAAATGCCTTCAAATTTTTGTTATGCAATCCCGCACAACTTTCTTGTGCTGGTATTCTCTCAAGTGCTTGATCAGAAATACAGTGCTACCGCCAAATACGCTGTCTAAGAGCCATTTAATAGGTTTATTACGTACAGTATTTGTAAAAACATTGCAATGGAGTAGAGGGACATTTAGAAATAAAGTATGGAATGCGACGTAGTACGAATGGAAATACTGAGAAAGAAACAAGGAAAGAACACATACGACTCGTAAGTTACGAGACATCATAACAAGAAATCTGAAGGCATTTAACTTTCACACTTACGCAATACTGTTACAAATTAGTGTCACGTAGAACTCTGACCGATTTTAACTTTGCGGAATTTAAGTATTTTATTCGACGCTTCTTATTACTAGGTTTTTAAACGATATATAAAAGAATTAATGAAACACCTTCTTTTGTTCTCAATATAATATGCGCCGCTGAGAATGAGAATTGTGTACCAGTTTCTGGTTTTACTTTGCAGCCTATATTTATTATTACCTGCAGTTCAGCAAAAACTGTCACTTCCGCCCTAAGTTTATGTGTAAATTTTATAATCATATTTAGATAAATTATTGGTGAAATCAAACACGATGTGAGAACTACAAATTCTTTTTCCTCCTTATCCAGGAACCGGTGAATTGTTCGTCTCTTTTGAGATGCAGTTATCCACAAATTAATAACTCCGTGTAATAGTGTTCCCCTTTAGATACTTATAGTTGCTTATCTTGTCAAAAAATTGTGTATTTTATTCAGCGTGAAGTTTCTTTTTTTTTTTTGCGTACAAAAGCACGCCGCTGTTCCGTACCCGGAGCTATATTTAACCAGTACACATTCCATTACTTGAAGATTAATTTCAATATTATCCTCCTATCTTTATCTAGGACGTACAGGTTCCCTTTTCCCTTCAGATTCTCCTACCTACGCTTTGTATGTAGTATCTCTCATCTTCTCCATGCACGAATTACAACTCATCCTCGATTTTATCAACCGGAAATTACGTGATCATTACCTAGTACACACGTAACCCACATTATAACACATATGCACCATCTGATTCAACAGTAAACAACTCTGAATTATCCCCACACAATGTGCACTTGTGTTTGGGCCGTCGGAATAAGCAATGCTTATCCTGAAACAGCATTAATAAATGTATCTTTGTATTTGACAAATGAATGTCAAATATTGTGTAGATGAGCTTCATTCTCGAAAAGTTAATTTAACATTGGGTTTCCACTCACAGCAAACCACAGACGAGACGATGCGGAACATTTATGAGAAGATGTTTGACAAGAACCTTCCCAACACCACGTTAGAGGGACTGAAAAACTTATGTTCCATTAAAAATTATGCATTCATGACGACGTACGATACCGTGTTGTTGTTCTGGAAAAATGCCAACTGCAGTTTCATGGCGCTGAAGGAGGCCTCCTTCCCCGAGACTCTCAGCATCGCTTTCAGTAAAGGGAGCCCCTACCTTGGAGTAATCAACTTCAAGTAAGTGTCCTGAGTTCTATTTTATAGCAAAAACACTCGGTTACTGGCTTTCTTAACCGAGATATTTCGATTTTTTCTTCCATCTCGGCCAGTAATTGGAGATAGAAATTTAATAGACAATGCAATACAAATAATATGCACGTATGTTTGTTAAAGAGAATCATAATATTATGCGAATTTCCTATGTTATTTTTAATATAGTTGTACTGAATTCTTGTCAAAGTTTATTTCATGAGGCTGTCCCAACTGCGTAAGTTCAAAATTGTTAGTGTAGCGATAAAGATCCGAACTCACATTCTGAACAAGGAATTTATCGGGTTTCCTCAGTGTCTCCAGTGTACGCTTGGGTAGTAAAATTGTCAAATAATGGCTTCATCGTAACATGGATCGCTCTCATATTTTGGTAATTGTTACTTTTTAAAAGTTTTATAGTGTAACTTAATAGAACTATTTGAATGTTTAATCTCCTAAAACCTTCCACTCGCGAATCGCACTTCTCTTCTTGGGGATCTACGTTTATCTTCTTTGTATCCAAATCTGTTTTCTGTTCAGTAAACGTAAACCTTGGATGACCTAAAATATTTAATAGGATTGGAGAGGTGTTCTTTGGAGGAAACTGACCTTTCAATTTTTTTCCTTAAATCACATCACATGCGTCAGCTTTGCATTAACGTGATTCTGTACCATTATTACACGACAGTGTGTTCCAGCAGTGACCTTAGAAACCAAGATCATTCTTGCACTAATGTTCCAACTACGATGGTAGAAGTACAGGTATGTTATAGGACAGTATTTCATGTGTACATTCTATTTTCTTCGTTATTTTCTAACCCAGGTCCCCATTAATGACCCCATTATTTTTATTTTATATTTGTAAATGGCGCCAACGACGTCAATTTGTTCTAAGGTCAATGACCTTCGCGTGATTTGGGATGCTTAAAGGATGATGATGTAATTACTTCTGGCTTGGGTTCTCCTATGTAGGAATTTACTAGTCTCTTCCGCTATCTAAAACTCACGTAAGTCTCCCTGTAATGTTCTTGTTAACGGATTTTATCCAACAGTTTAATGCTGCCGTTTGTGATAAAATTTCTCAGTATCAGATTTCACGAAAATACCTGCTTTTCTATGCGATCTCACGGACGGACGGAAGTGGTGAAGTTAATGTGCGAATGTTTGCAGCGTTTAGTGGCAAATTCGCCTCCGATCTACAACTGACTCCTCTGCTCTAGGTTGCAACAGATGCGTGATACGGGTGTCCTATATCGCATACTCAATAACGCGTGGTCCAGTGAGGCAAACGACGACAGGGCGTTATGGACCAGCGTCAGTATAGATGCACTGACACCGATGTTTAGCATCCTAACAATAGGCATCCTGCTGGCTACAGTGTTGATGATCCTGGAGAGACAGGCGTTCTACCTGGTGCAGAGGCCGGGAAAACGCCAAAGGAGCGGCCATCCGCAAACCAGGAACGGCGCGGATTTCTAGCGGACAGTAAGGTCATAAAGGCTGTTCTTCGGAAGGATGTTGAAACTTTTTATTCTGACGAAACGATGTACACAGAGGAATTTTTTTAAATCCTACGGTGGTCTAGCGGTTAGAACGCTGGCTTTGTAATCCTGGGATTCCCGGTGGTGCCGAATTTATAACTTTTGTTGGGCAAGGCCGTGGTCTAGGCAACACGGAGTTTTCCTCCGGGGGCTTCCCCGGTTTCTCCGTGGCATCCCAACAATTACTCCATTCACACACAGAAGAAGGCAATGGCAAACCACTTCTGGATCATCTGCCAAGAACGTATATGAACAGGTCCCAGTCCGAGAAAAGGATGGAAGGATCCTGTTCATATGGACCTGTCGTCAGACAGAACACTAAATAGGAATAAAAAAAATAACCTCCATAGTGACGTGCAGTTTTCATTGTTAAAGCACAAATATCTTAAATTGTAGAGAAAGGGAAGGACATATTGCTGTGACTGAGCCAATATTTCTGAAAGAAATACTTTGAGAGTAACATATTAACATATAAAGGGTTAAAATTTCAACAATTCTCCTGTAAAACGTGCAAATATCCTAGCATGTTTAATTCTGCGCTTGGGATGATCGGACGTGACGTCAGCAATCCTGTCGAGGATTATGATAGTAATGGTTGCCAATAATATTTGTGACTCATTTACGACATTTTTGGAATGACACTAACATACGAGGGAAGTTTTTCTTTTACCAATCGCGAACTTTTGACAAGTACATAGTTTTCGCAATTTTAATGCGTCACAATAAATTCCCCCCCCCCAAAAAAAAATATTCAATTCAATATTTGTCAAGTGACGTGTGTAGCGTTACTTTAGCAGAAATAGGACGCAATTGAATTCGGCAATGTACTCGTTTCATGTAGGTTATGTTCATATAATTTAGTTAGGGCAGCTTTTAACCGAGAAGATAATCTGACCTAGCATTTTTGCTGCATCAACATGTCCAGTATTCTTTCTTGAAATTTATGTCTCCGAGGTATTCATGGGATTTTCTTAACAAGGCCTTACTTGTGCTCTAAGGCAGTGATCATATTGTACTTCATGTCTAACACAGCAACGGAAAAGCTAATTAGAATTATTTTCCAGTTAAACATTATTTTGAATTCGCCTACAATAAACTTAATTGAACATTGTGTTTATGTTCCGGTTATTATTTCAACACATGGTAAGTACGAAGAATACTGTGTTGTTACAGTCTCGAATTTGCACTCGAGTAATTGTTCTGTGTTGTCACTCGTATGTGAATGATAAATATGCCGTATGTTGAAACTTTCCTGATCGACTAGCATTAAGCTTAGGAAGGAACCATTACAAGGAAGTCCATGAGTATGTCTCGCTCCTGCCTCCTTTATCCATTGAATGAGTGTGTAATGGGTCAGTGAGTGAGTGAGTGGGTGAGTCAGAATATCAATGAATCAGTGAGTGGATACTAAGTGAGTGTCTTGACGAATGTACGATTCAGTAAATCAGCGAATTATTGTGACGAATGAGTGAGAGACGGCGATTTAATGAGTGGAAAGGAGTTTGGACGAGTGAATAAAAGTGAGTGCGTAATTCGTGGCTCACCACACACGAACTTCTCCACGCGATACCCAGTTTTATTCCGTCATAAATCCTTCATACTGATGCAATCAGCCCACAATCTATCATGGCCCTAATAACATAAAATATTCAGAGGATAAACAGGAGACTTGTTTCCACACCCTCGCAATTATTTTCTTGCGTGCAAACAATTATTGATCGTTATCGATTTCTCTCCATGTTGCATATCAATGAACATTTTGTTCATGCAAGCTGACATTCTTGTTTCCTATGATGGTGGTAAGAGCTCTTGGAGTTTTATTCCTCGCCATGTTGACAAGTTCCCCAACTTCAGAAATGTGTGGTAAGATGACAGCAGGGGTGATAAAGGATTTAGGAAAGTTGTTCCATTCAGGAGGAGCGTATTTTTTGGTTTCTTCAGAACAAGTTGCTGAAGACTGCTGGTCCAATACGGTGAGACTGCTCACTAATGAACATATGCCGACAGCAATAATAAGATTTGAACAAGCTTTCCTTATTCCATTCCCGCCAGAGAGGATGTCTGTCTACGTGATGTACTCTGTTGGCATGGAAGATATATCTGCAATGCAAGAGGTAAGTTGTTTCTGATTGCGAAACCGACTAGTACATCGGTACTGCAAATTCCTCAGCTGCATTCGTCGAAGAAATACATTCCCTTTATGTGACAAATTCACAGAAAATAATTCTGCTGTATTTTAACGTTAAGAAGGAAGCACATTTCTTATAGGCTATTCTCACAATATAGTTGATATGTCTATTTTCATTAGGTGTATTTTCTTTGTATGTTTTCTCTCCCCAGCTTCTGGCTATGTTCGACATGCATTTGGCAGTATGGCTGCTGTTTCTCGAAGACAACGTCTCGGTGGAGTACTATTTCAGTGGAGTGCACGTGCCTTTCAATTGTCGCTTCCTGGTGGCGAAATGTACAGGCGAGACCGTTCAGCTGACAGAGGTCTACCGTGTCACCTCCAGCCACCCGTTGACTCTGAGACACTACGGGGTTTGGAAGCAGGACCATCCCTTATCCTTAAAAGGGAACTTTTACGACGGCAGAAATAATCTACAAGGACTCAGCATGAGGGCCATCTCTATGAACGTCAGTTGAATTATTGTTCTTAATACTGTTAAGATATAAAATTGGGGAACTTTATACCCAAACTTTTGTTCTGTTGGGTAAGCCCTCGAACCGTTTTGAGCGTATCCTACTCATAGCCAATTTGAGACACTGAGCTCGTTGTGTTTGAGGTAAATGTATTCCTTTGTACTACAAATAAGTTATGGTGAAATGAATGCTTTTCTGTTTATCGCCAAAAGTTATTGACCATTACACACTCGATCAGATTAGTCGATTAATCATGACATAATGTTCGTGAGGTTTCGATATAAAGAAGGTGATAGTCGGATACTATATATTTCTTTGAGACGAGATGGAACAAGATTGGCCCAGTAACGGTGAGAACGTTGCTTAAGTAACAATAGAGATTGTAAATTCCTATTCTATTTACAGAACCTTCCCTACTCCGTCATGGAAATGGAAAACAGCAGCTATAAACTGCGTGGATCGATAGCACCAATATGGCGAATGATGGAAGAAACACTGAACTTCACGTATGTTTGATGGGCGGGTCAATGTTCAGGGTCATTGACCCTTCAAAGGAGTAGGATAGGGACGGAAAAAAAACTCCGAACACTGAGAAAGCACTTCGTCATTTTGCTGTGTAGACGTAAGAAATACGTTGTAAATCGAATATGCAAGCTTGACAGGACACTAAGATGGGGCTAGGAAAATAGTTTATGACCTACAAGAAGTATTATAATTATTTTGTCGTAATCGTTTAGTTTTATGCAAATGTTGCATAGGGTATTACAAAATTATGTTATGAATCCCTTGTATATGTACTTAAGAAATTATTTTAATTTTTAGATCCTTAAATAATTTGAGCCATAAATGGAATGAAAGTAAATTTAACTTTCGTGTGGTAATATTTTTTTAATTTAGTCAAAGTTTATCAGGAAACTTAAAATGTAGGCCATTAGTCAAAAATTCATTCAGCTTCATAAATAACTTAGCTGTTAGAACAATGGGAACAAAAGCTTTACGTGGGAATGCTGGTACGTTCGGTGCACATTAGCAGAATTACACCAAGTTCTGAGGAGTTCTCATTTTGTTCTAATAGCCACTTTATTTGGGGGCATGTTTGAACGTTTGCGTGTTTCTTTTAAGTCGTCTCTCAGATTATAATGAAAAGTAATTTATAAGACTTTTACGGATAGTAACAGTATTCTTCATTTACTGTTGCACCTTGTAGTCTGATGTAAGTTTACTGATATTTTAGAAGTGCTTGCTGCCTCCATCATCAGGGTGGTGAGTGATAATGATGGAGACAGCAAACACCTTTAAAATGTCCTCGAGCTTTTACAAGACTGGACGGCTCGACAAGCCAGAAGTGCATTTTTTTGTAACAGTCTCCCGTTTACTTATCAGCGCGAGTAGCATGCGGTAAGCCATGAGTCCTGTTTTCGTTTTATCCAGTACTGAGTACCAGTTCTCAGAGGACAATTTTGCGGGGTCCCTCGCCGATAATGGATCCTGGCGTGGGTTGATCGGCGTGTTGTCGAGACAGGAGATAGACGTCGCCGTCTCTGCTATAACGATGACCCCGATGCGAACCGAGGTTGTGGATTTCACCCTACCCATCTTCCTCAACAGGTACTGGTTGCCGTAGTATTTACATCATAATTTAACTCCACGATGCGGGCTTTTACATCATAAATTGGTCTCTCAGCCGATCAAGAATGTTTCCGCCCTTTGTGAAGGTGGAGGTTTATTTCAGTGTTTACAAGACCCTCTTACTAGATCCTACACTGAGAAAATTCAATTCAGATCACAACCACATGCCCTGCGTCTTTCAACATTCGTTTTAGCATTAACCTCCCGTTACGACTTGGTCTCCCAAGTTCTCTTCAGTCAGATTTTGCGACAGTTTTGTATGCCTGACAGAATGTTGGTGTAAGGAGTGCATTAGCCGGCGGTGTAGATATCTATACAATATTTAACATAAACTATAGTTAATTTTAAAATGCTTAACACTAAAATGTAATTTTTCTTCTTTCCAGCTACAAGTTGTTCATCCGACAACCCAATGCGGTCGACGTGGACTGGGGAAATTTCTTGGCGCCATTTCACTCCAGTCTCTGGCTCAGCATTCTGGTGATCATCTTCGTAGTTTCAGTCCTGGTAGAAGCCTGTCACCGACTCGTTCAGCGCTTCGGGAACTCTAGTGCCGAGTGGCAGCATCGCCCTTTCTTCCAGGACTCGCTTTTCCACGTCTTCTCGGCGTTTTGCTCGCAAGGTATCGATCGAGACGCCTCGTATCTGTAGCAAAACAACGCAATCAGCGTAATTGCCTAATTGGTCGATTTATTGGTTTCGACGCACGATCATACGTCATTGTATTTTAGACCTCTTGTCCTTCTGACCGCTACGGACTAGGCTGAGGCCTATTCTTAGTTTATAGTCATCTTTAAAATGGTCTTATTATGTGTTTCCTTGTATTGTAATGAAGTTTAAGTTTTAAGAATCTGTTACTTTCCATTCTGTTTATGTACGCTAACAATTCTTCCATATATTTTATCATCTGTTCTTCCGTGTACTGAATTATTTGTTGCTACACGTAGTTTTAAAATGTAATTAATAAATTAGCCTCATTTATTGCCACGTAACTATGACTTTCTCAAAGACTAACAGTCGCTTTGATAAGATATTATCCGTGTTGTAAGGAACTAGAAAGTTCATTACCGTGTTCACAAGAGCCCGGCACTGGTTCTTGAGTCACATTAATCCAGTCCGCACATTTGTTCCTCCAAATGAGTACTTCATTTCAGGTCAACTTCCTTAATTTGGTCATCATAATATTTTTTGAAAATTAATTGGGCAAATAAGGACCAAAATTAAAATCCATTACAAATTTTATTGTAGATTCCAAACCAGTTTTTATCAACATTCTTTTTGTAGTTATGGAAATGAAATGTGTAGATGGACAGACTCTACTTCCCCCCCCCCCCCAAAAAAGCCATGATTGCCGGTTGAATCATCCGCAGGCCATGACATGACATACAGGACGATGTCTATCCGCGTGCTGTTCCTGGCCGCTCACATGACAGCGGTGGTACTGCTAGCAGCTTACTCTGCTGGCCTCATCTCATCTCTCACCATGCAAACCATGAACCTGCCATTCTCCACCTTCGAGGAACTGTTGAACGACGGTACTCATGCGGTCGGTGTTGTCAACAATTCAGCAGCAATATGGCTCTTCAGCGTAAGAAGAATATGTCACATCTGTAATTACTTGTTCTCAGAAGCCAGAAGTGACTTTCCTAAAATTGCGGGCCGATGATCCCCGCTATAAAGATTTACCATTGAAATCTGTTAAAATTGCTATCAATAATCTGCACTGGGTGATCTGAGATATGTGCTAGTTAAAAATAATGAATTATTCCATTTCCTACCTTCATTATTTACATTACGTCAAAAGTATCCTATATTGAAATCGTCAATTTTAAATATATTTAATAGCATGTATTTATGTTCATACAGGAAACAAAAGACCCGTTGCTAAGAGAGGTCTACACGGAACTGATTGCCTCAGACCCAGAGAACTTTCCATCTACGACCCTTGAAGGGATGCGACGTGTGTGTTCCATAAAATTCGCCTTCTTATCGCAGATGTCACGAGTGCAAAACATCAGACACGATATCCCTTGCAAGATAGTTGACCTTCCTGCCACCTCCATAACGGTTAACCTTGCCATCGCTTTCACGAAAGGCAACCCATACAGAGACGTCATAAACCACAAGTATGTGACAAGCGTGAGATGTGACGTTTTCGCTGTGGTCCTCCGGCTTCGAACGTCGCGGTGTCTTGGTTGTCGTCACAGACGTTATTCCTGAACACAGGAAACAAGCCCACATTACTGTTCCCCGTCACAACCCAGAATATCGGTCAGAGTAGCTTAGTGGTAATCCCGTCTTCTGGGTTGCAGAACCGTGTAGTCTGGTAGGAGTTTAATGAATCACTCATCACCCTGATAGTGGAGACAGCAAGAACCTCTAAAACGTTAGTAAACTTCTACCAGATTACACGGCGTGGATTTTATACAAGGCTGGTAGTAATTGTGACTATTCACTTCGCAAGAAGGACTCTGATCCATGGAGTTCTTTAGTTTAAGGGTTTATATAGGTCCCCATTAATGTCATTACATGCGTGTCTGCTCGTCAGATAATCGACTGTAACACAAAGTCCAAGAGTTATTTACGTATTGCATGTGAGTACAGAGTCTCCAGTTTATTATTGGGCCGACGACTTTGAATTTTGTGGTCGATAAGCTATCCGCATCTTTCCGTCTTTCTCGCTGGCTGTAGCATGGTTTACGTATGCATTCAAAACGGTTGTTAGGCCACTATTTCACACACATAAAATTCTTGTGACATTTATGAAGTGCCTGTACGCGATTTGGAAGTCGGAGTGCAGTATGCAAAAAAAAATTCGGAATAAGAGGGTCAATTTATTTTGACAAAACAGTAAATTCCGAATGTTATGTAAAATTCTTTATCAAGTGAGTGAAGAAGACAAAAACAAATGTGAATTTTAGGATATTGCTACAGCCCACTAGAAAATAAATCTACGAATGCGTTAGATGAACGATTGTGGTCTGCCCGCTCATCACATTTAAATACTTGTAACTTTTATTTGTGGGGCGGATTAAAGATAAAGTCTGTGTGATAATCCTCATTCCCTACTAGGGTGGAAAGAAAATACGAGGTAGGGTATTTCCGTTGTTCCAAGAAGACAACTTCGCCGTATGTCTAGAAACATTTTTTAAGGATATGAGGCCTCTACGGAATCAGAAGGTGGGCACTTCGAGACTCTGCTTTGAACTATGTTAGGTCGTACTGTAGGGGGAATAAAACAGCGAACAGCCTGCTTCCCCTGTGCGGTGAGCTTGCTGTAATGGTACGCGGTCTGAAAATTAATTGAAATTTTACTAAAAATGAATCATAGTACGAAATATAGATGAGATGTTCGTCGTGATGTTTGTCTTGCGTGTTGCAGTTTGCGGGGGATGCGAAGAGCGGGGATACTTCAGAAGCTACAGCTAGATTACGGCACGAAGGGGCAGCGGGTGGCGGTCAGGAACGACCTGGAGAGCGTGAACCTGGGTGACGCGGCGCCGCTACTCGTCGTGTTGGGGGTCAGCGTGCTTGTGGGTGTGTTCCTGCTCGTGCTAGAGCGCAAGGCGCGTCGGATGATGATGTGCCGCTCCTACGTCACAGACCAGTCCAGTCGGCTTGGGACAAATAGAAACTGGCCCTCTTGAAGTTGTTTCCTTACTGCTTTCTTCCATTGAAGAGTTTGCACTACAGTATCATCGCAACGAATCGACTTCCTCGTTCTTAGTTCAGCTGGGTCAAAGGCGAGGTTATGATATCGTTCTGAGTGATAGATTAGACCTCGTTTGCCTCAGTGAGTGTCGGGTGGAAGTTAATGAACTGAAATAATCCAAGAAGTCTAGCGTTAGAGAATGTTTTCTCTAAAATCTTACGTGACTACCCAACGAATAAACCCGGACCTTCATGATGTGAAAAGACTGGGTTTGAACTGTTTCTTTGTCGTTGGGTTCAAATGACGAAATGAAACCAACAAAGACAGAGCTGAAATTGTTAAAATAAATCTTACATTATTTATGTGCGATGATCCAACTAATTTTGAAATAATATTCTGCTATTCAGTTGGATTTATTTAATCGATCATATGACTGGTCGGACTTACCAAATTATTTAAATATTTAATTATTTATTGTCTAACTGATTAGTTGCTTTGCTGATTCATTGATACACTCGCTGATTGAGTGATTGGTCGTTGAGTGATTGGCATGTCAGTCTGTGCCTGCGTTATCAACTGCAAATTTTGTTAGGAATAGAAAAGAATTAAAGTTATTCGTGAATGATGAGTTAACAGAGATCCGAATGGAGTGGTTAATGCCTATTTCAATGTTGGCATTTGGCTAATGAGACGGGAAAACTACGAATAACCCCAATAATGACAATTACCGTTTATTCGGACATTTTAACTTTGTACCTTCCCAATAGAGTTTAACCGTGAACTTTCTGCTCCGAAGGCAATCTTAATAAATTCGTGATCCGGATTTGACGAAGAAACGACGTAGTTTTGATGGAGTGGTCGTACTACTGACCGCTGAAATATTTGGATCTAGGGTTCTATTCTTGCTCGAGGGATGCATATTTGTACGCATTGTGGCATGCGTCTACAAGGATTACAGACTTCTGCATCCATAACTAAACAACTGACAATGAGAATTAGTTAGGAATAAAGCAACAAATAATTTTCAGATTTAAAAAATAAACAAATGTATAGAGAACGAAAGTTTTGTCACCCACAATTTCTTGTATTTTATTAACAATAAGAATTCTTTTGGACCAATATGCGTCGGTCATATAAACCAACTTCTGGCTCTGTGTATATTGTAACCGAAGCAAAGTTACATAAAATTGTGAGTATAATTATACAAAGCTTGACATCTAGTCATACAATAAAATTATTTTGAAATATTCTGGTTATACAGATTACAATGTTTGTCTGTTTTAAGATTGTAAACTTAATTAGCTGAGCGACTAATAGCGTCATCATGAAGTTACTTAGACCAATATTACACATTTCATATGTTGTTTTGTTTACCTTTTGATGTTTCATGTAGGGCTAACGTCCTTGTATGTGAGAGGCCTACCAAAGTTACTTTATGTCGAAGTTGATAAATAATGGTATAGCCAGTATGAATAATATGAAAATGGCATTGCTGTAGGGAACTTCTTCTAATGCCTACCATAAATTCCACCCAGTTTAGATCACAACTCTGTATGTTGTGAAGTAGTGCACTATTCGATAGGCAAGTACGACTATTCTGATAAGTTTTTACTATTTTGTTCAAGTTCCTTGTACGAATCCCAAATAAATGCCTTCATGTAGACGCTAACATTGTCATTCTTCTATAACTTTCTCCTGAGTCACCACACATAATTATTAGTATCATGTCTGTTATTAACATTAGATTAATATGTAGCTAATATATTGTTATAAATTATCTAATAAACATTATCGATGTTACACAACTTAAAGTGTCAAATTTCAAGAATAAATTCAAGGCCGCATATTCAGCTAATGCTAGACAAGACCGTAATTAATACAATAAATCTTCTAAAGACGCCAGGTAATAAGATTAAGAAGCGAAATTTATTTTACGCTCGGGTGATTGTAAGAGATCTCTTTCATTACACAAATTCAATGAAACAAGTAATAGTATCGTAAAATTGTTCCAGAAACATTTTCTATTTAAAGGTTGTCATGGCAACGAGCCAGAGTGTGTTCGCAAGGCTTCTATCACGTGTAGAACAACAGCTGGAAAAAGTTAGAGCCAACAAGTGACTGACCAGTAGTGACTGTGATTCTTCAGCGGAAAGACGTAGCAGCCCAAAGCCCGCCCTCACACAATTACAACTTGCCATGGGTTGGATCGGCAGAGTGCAAGGTGAGTTTTACATCAGTTTGCTTCTTGGCAATCAATAAATCAACTTCCCACGTTCGGCCCTATTAAAAACTTGTAAAAATTCAGGAACAAAATATCTGTCAATAGAATGCAGCATCATGTTGAAACCGATCTCCGTGTTCAATTTATTGGGTAATTGCATTGTTGCGATATGTACTGTAATATCCTTAATTAATAGGTGAATAAATTACGTTTAACGTCGCTTTGAGAAATACGTACAATTAGGACACAGTAGAGGAAAAATTTTAGATTAGTTTTCAGAAACTCAAAACTTTTCGAAAATTGGCTGTGCTTTCGTCATCGGCTGAAACTATAAACCTAGTTAGTTGGGTCCATTGGAAAACCCAAATCTTTTCCCCAGGTCCAAGGAAGTGTTGTAAATAAATAAACGAAGGGATTTTTTCCAAGAATATGCATCAATTCATAAGCAAGAAATTCCCGTCATTCCATCTTGATTTTTAATTGCATGACTTAAATAATAAATCTAATAATGTGTCACAGGTAATTTGTATTTCGCCTCTACACTTGACAACCACGGGAAGGTTTCATCAGGTATTTTGGTAGTCCTTAATGATCTTTGTCTGTTGTGACCTATCGGATTTTATGTTTAATCTCTGTTATGTTGTTTACGGTGCCGTAATATACCATTCTACTGCTGGTTTAAGCCGAAGACAGAGATTGTTCTGTTTGGTGTCTGCACAGGACACCACATAAAACAGTGACACAATTTTATTCCCCTAGCGGGATTCAAACACAGGTCCCTTTTTAAATATTTAGCTAAATACATTTTAATTCCAAGCTTTAATGTGTTCTGAGATCATTAGCCCGGTCTTATCGGTAGCACGTAAAGTATTACGACAAAATTATCTTCCCTTGTAACACGATAAGCTAGATTCTTTAATGGATTCCTTAGTTGAACATTCCACCTTTTACTGTCATCAGTATTCGAGGTCATAAACTGTATTCTCTTGCATAATCATCAGTTTAAATTGTAGTGTACAGTAATCATATTTACTACCTCACAAGTAATTACATATTAATAAGCAAGCGTCATTTGACTTGCGCTCAACAAATAGTTATTAATTCGGAGAAGCTGATGGCTACAATAACGTGTTTGCTTCGCGTCAACGTATGGGTCTAAAGTAATTAGCCTTTGTACTGAAAATTTTATTTACGTATGTATTTTATACTTATTTATTTATTTATTTATGGCTTCATGTTCTAAGTGTCTATTATAATAGTGAAAGAAATAGGATCATGATTTGTGTGTTATTGTTATGATGGAATGAGACTGCTTCTATTGAACTATGGCCGCCAATGGGTCCATCATTGTCCATTCTCCAGATGATGCATGGGTGAATATAGAGCAGCTGTGGAATGATATTAATCAGATAAAACCAAAGGACTCGGAGAAAAGCCTGTCTCCAAGTACCACTTTGTCCCTATATGCAAACATTAAGCTATTAAGATGTATAGGAAAAGTACAGGTAAATATTCATACATGCTTATCGTGTGTATTAGTTGGAGGCAATTTCCATCTTTACTTAACCACGGAGATGGAGACGCCGGTTTGAGTTAGGAAAACCCCAGAGTAGGTCTCGACGTGGTGAAAGAAATGTTCTTTAGCCTTGTACCTGCCAGGATCCGGTCTTGGAAATCGAACCCCGGTCGGGCAACAGACAAAACATATTTGTGTATGAAAAGGAGACAGTTTAATTAATTTATTTATTAACTGGTTGCTTTGATTTGTCGAAATGTGTGATGACTGTGTCTGATATATTGAAAATAAGGTAGGAAGAGAACGTTGTGGTTTATTTTTAAGTCGTGTTACAGTTCTGTTAGATTTCAGATTCTCACGGCGGTGAGTTTGAAGATGGCTGTCTTCTGGATTGTTGCGCTGTGTAGTCTGATAGAAATTTACCGACGCTTCAGATGTGCTTGCTGCTTTAATGATGGAGGCAGCAAACACCTCTGAAACATCGGCAAACTTCTATTGTGCTGTTTCACCTACAGACCGCATCGCGGCCAGGTACATGCTGTGCCTCATGTTTTTCTTGGGCTTGACCGTCACGTTCCTGCTTCGTGTGAACATCAATCTGGCCATTGTAGGCATGGTGAACAGCACAAGCGTGGAGCCGACAAGCCAGGAGGAAGCCCTGTCCAGCGCGTCGGGAGGTTGTCTAGCGGCCAATGTCAGCGTCTCTACAAATAAACAGGTCTAGTTATTTCCGTACAAACAAAGTATTGCGTGTTCTGTGCAAGCTGCTAGTGAGTGTTACTAAGTAAGAGCGTGTCTGAGAATGAGGGTGGCGGCTGCTAACACGATGAAGACGTAATAAAAATGTGCTGACGTATTTGATAATGGGACTGCATTGACAGCACAGCTCTAATTAGTCACAAAATAATACTTATTCTTCAAAATTACAGGTAGCTATATAATACACTCCCGATTATTCGGGATAATTGAAAATTATATATTTACGGGCATACAATATTTAATTTCTTTAAAGATTTACTAATAACAGAAACGATTTTATGTAAAAATGTCATAGTATACACCAATTACTTTTTTAAAAAATAAAGGCAATGCATGTTATCTACATGGGGTCAAATAAACACAGGAATTATGTCTTGCAATTAACACATAAATTTCAAAAGTATACACGGCACAACAATTACATTAAAAACAAACAAGAAGCAGTTAACGTCCCAGACTATGAAGTGATATTATCGGACTAAAATACTGTAGGCTTCTCCATTTCCCAGATCCCAATGCATGCAAATGTTTCGTCCGTCTCATCTTTTAACTGATCTCCCCATTTGCTGCCTTCATTGTAGTGGCGGGCGTCGTGTTAGTCGAGATAGGTAATACTTCAGAAACGTCTTTAAAACTTCTACAAGACTGCACGGTGCAACAACCCAGAAGACAGCCGTCTTCAAACTCACCGCCGTGAGAACTTCAAATTGCGTTTTCTGGTGATAGGTTTGCTGATTGGTAGGTTAATTGAGCACTGTCAGATAGGATAATACATAAGAATTTGGATAAAGCCGTCAGTGCCCAGTGGCAGGCACTTAAGACGTGGTAAAGAACTATCTTGTTGCTGGCTAGTGATTTCTTGACTGCACGAACGACTATCGCCTGAAGACGATACGTGCTGTATGAAGTTAGATAGCTTGGCGTGTAAGAGCTTGAGATGCCAGCTCTGTATTGAACACTGGAATGACGTATGTCGGTTTAGAAATTATGTTTCTTTTCAATTTGTTTAAAATAGCAGAATTTTTTTAAAGGTTATCTGTCTTCATGCTGTCTGGCCCTCATTAAAATTTAACCTTTGAAATTATTGTCACTGGACCTATATTAAGGTCAAGCCATAGAGATTTTATTTCTGAAGTCCCTTCCGCCAAGCTAATCCAGGAAACGGACAACGCATACATTTGAACAGGGATCAAACTCACATAATAAATTGCAATAATAGGAGATGCAGCAATGGCCATGCAGGGGGGTACATGAAGCTGATAAAGAAAACACGGCCTGAATAGTTTAATAAGAGATAAAGCCGGAATTTTAATCCAGTTTAAAATAGGCTGCATATGTTTTTCTCTACCTTCTTGCCGTGGAGACCCGGATTCAGTAGCGGGTAACTTGCTGGACGATGCAGCTCTACAGCAGGATTCTCTCCGAGGTCTTCGGTTTTTTCCTGCTAATCGTCATTCCACCATTTTTCCATACTCATGTACCACCGAGCCATGAGGTGGATGATACCTTTTACCAAGCAGCACATTATCATACAGTCAGTCCTACAATATGGGCTTCGTCTGTGGCTGGCCTCGGAGTACAGACAGTTAGTTTATTTCTATATGTTTTCTTCTATCTTTCTATCTTACTTTCACTGTAGATCTCTGTCTACTCTTTTAAATAACGGTTTAGAGGAGTGTTAGAAAACCCGCAGGCCACTTGTGGACCGAGACCTGATTTTATGGACAAAGATCTAATTTTATTAGGTCGTATTTGCAACAACCCACATACGTTTCTGAGTTCATTTTAAAAAAATAATGTCATTCTTCCATTAATGAAATAAAGATTTTTATTATATTTTTTGTTAATAAATGTCATTAATTGGAAATGTAACATATATTTATCAACAATATACGTGTTACTGTTAATGAATGGCTTGTGGTCAGGTCAGGGCTTTCATATTTTAATAATTACTCTTGCAGTTTTGAATCTTACTGGTGTATAAGTTTCTGTTTCAGTCATTGTTAGAAATTCGTTAGGATTCCTTCCATGGAAGATCAGTCCATAAGTGCTGCAAATATACAACCATTCCTACCTGCTCCAAATATTAGGCTGTTCAGTTTCACGCTGATACTTATCTGTGGTGTCTGTAGGCCTGCTTATCGTTGCTCAAACGCAAACAGGAAATTGTTTCAGAGCTTGCGTCAGCGGATAATCAGTTGTTGTTTTTTCCTCCCAGTAGTTAACGTCCCCTCTTTCCCCTAACAAGAACATTCGTTAGTGTTTACATAACAAATTGTACGCGATTACGTAAAACATGTGGGCTCCAGTGTGTTGTGACGTGGTCGGATGTTGAAGACGTATTGATGAAGAGGTTATCGTGCAAAATGTCAGCTGGATACGATCAACCGGGAGACCTCGGCGAAGGTGGAGAGTTACTATCAAAATGTCTTAAAAGACCACGCTTCTTACAAAATGCTCTGCTCCACAAAGTTACCTCTGTATTGGTTTGTTAGTTAGACAGTTGGTTCGTTCATTAGCTAATATGTTTACTTATTTGGTTATGTTGTGTGTTGGTAAGTCTGTTGGTTAGTTCGTTAGATAGTTAAGTACTTATTTTGTTGGTTAATCCTTTGGTTCGTTGGCTGGCTGTTAGGTTAGGTTAGGTTAGGTTAGTTATTTGTTTGGTTGCTTAGTTAGTTAGATGACAAGCATATTCCACTCTCCGGTCTTTCTTTCAGTATTTCATAATCGCAGTGTTTAATACCGTGATGCTACAAAAAGAGAGGCATCAAAAAGGAATAAAGAAAAAATGAAACCGCCAATCGTCTGTAGCGTGGAGCTGTTTTCACAACTAAAACATACTTCTGTACTTCCAGGCCTTAGTTGATGTGTGGGTGGTAATGGATATTTGCAAGCTTCGTCAGCTAAAATAAGCTAGCAGCTTTTTGGCAGAGACACTGAAGTGTTGCGTCCCAGGACACCAACTGGGCAGGTAGGCACAGCGGTATTGCCTCTTATTCTATTTCAGAAGGGACACTTAAGCATTTTTTTGTCGTTTTCTGCTGGCCAACAAGACATTGTCTTAAAATCTGCCACGGTCGCTGCGTCCCCACGCTTTTCCTATTTTTATTTATGGCTTATTTAACGGCGCTCTCTATAGCTCAGCGTACAAGGTAACAGCACTGCCTTTTGTTAATGTCTTCAATAGCACGTCTATTACTGAACATCGCTTTGGGTGTTGGGGGAGGGGGGGTACGCCGCTGTTTCGGGAATTTGCTCCAGAACAATATCCATCATATGTTTAGAAACACGCTAGTTTAAAAGTTTGTAATGCCCTAGGTTTACAGTAACTTCTTTATGACAGTGAAAACCAAAACAAAAGTCGATCAAAACAAGAGCGAATTTGCTTAGATGGACTATAAATAAACGAAGACACGTCAAAAGAACTGAAAACGGAGCCTATATTTGACAGTTTTTAAAATGTACAAGCGTGTTGACGGAATGAAAGAGACGAGCATCGCGCGCGCACCAAGCAAACGGTTTAGGAAATTTGAGAGAGCCTTTAAAGACATTTTGTGCCATTGAGGCTGGCACGTATCAACACGTGGCGTGACTCCTTGGCAACTAGACAGTGATGAAAAGATTAAGTAATTTCTTTGAAGAGATCTTTAAGCTGAAAGAATCTTGAGCTTCAGTTCGTGGAAAATTTAAGATCTAGGTTGCAAACCTGTGTTAAAAGTCTCAGCTTCTTTTTTCTGAAGAAGAGAAGTGAGCGAGGAACCTGAAGTTTTTCGTGGGAGCGTCTGTTTACTCATTGGGTAAATGGAGTTTGGCGTGTGGCGTGTTTACAGGTGGTGGACGGGGCGCAGGGCGAGTTCAGCTGGGACGAGGTTCAACAGGGCATCATCCTGAGCTCCTTCTTTTGGGGCTACCTCATCTTCCAAATACCCGGAGGCCGCATTGCGGAAGTGGTGGGCGCTAAGCGGGTATTCGGTGGGGCGGTGCTCATCAACGGGGCGCTGGCCATCGTGTTACCTTTCCTGGCACGGACACACTGGATTCTGCTGCTTGTCGTCCGCGCCATGCAAGGTCTGGCCCAAGTACGTTACAAGCATGGGACCACAGTCTGGCCGAGTGACATTACTGGCATTACAAGTATCAACGTGTTACAACAGATCGTTCACCTCATTTCGTTCAACTGTCTACCCCTATTTGGGGTGTAGGTACTAGTATGAAGGCCTTTATTTGAAAGTACATTGTTTATGGATGACTGTTAATAGAGAGTCTGCATTAATGATTCTCTGAAGCTTTGTGGCAATGGTTGTTCATTATAGAAACACTAATATTGGGCACTGACCATTGTCTGACATATATTTGATGACATGTTTCGGAAATTAGCTCTACTCCCGTCTTCAGGTGTCATTCTTCATTGCATCACAACGCCATAAAGACATATCTCATGTCTTGAATACATACACGGAATGGAGGTATAGCTCCACGTATTCTTAACCTGGGCTCTGTAGCCACGCTGCTATTTGATGATTCCTCGTATCAGCGCCTAGCGTCTTCCCTATTGGAACAACATTGGCCAGCAAACATGTGTAGGGCCAAACGATTTACCCATTGTTTTGTATGCAAGTTTTGTCACACAACAAAAAAGTCTTGGCTGTTATTTGATGTGTACTCTGACAGTTTGAGGTTTCGACCGCTGCATTTTCGGTCCATGCTGCAGCTTGCTACGGGGTCAGGGATATTCAAATCGCGATGTGTTATCTATTTGATACATGCGATATATCAGGACTTCCTCTATGCCGTCTTCATGAAAACAGGTTATCTTTACACATTGTCTATTTTTAGATTAGTAGCAACATCGGGATCGAATCCGGCACCATTTTAATGCTATCTATCACTATGACAACCTGAAGAACTGAGTAGAACCAACTTCAGAAAGGTCTGTAATTTATATCAAATATACCTCAGAGATAAACGACACCTTGGAATAGCCATGTTTGCATTCGTAACAAATTAAATGCATTTATTTATCTTCCTTCAGCTCAAGGAACCCAGAAACAGAAATGTGACAGAAAATTTAAGATGTTTATAATTGCTGATCAAGTATACAGAGTTGGCCCTCTCACCATGAAGATCGCAGCCCGTTTCACATTTGTTCTCAGATTCTAATCGTTGCTTTTATTTCGGCTACCTTCCCCCTCAAATTAGAAATCATAATCTAGTAAAATGGTTAGCTTCTGTTGTCAAATAACCTCGAAGTTCAATAGAATTTCTATCTACCGATGATAAAGTGTTCTTATTAAACTACAAAAGTAACAGTTCGCTTATCGGCCACTGTATTTTGACACAGGGCGTAGTGTTTCCTGCCCTCAGTGCTGCTGTAGTTAGCTGGGTGCCTCTTCCTGAGAGGGCCAGGTTCGTCTCTTTTGCTGTTCAAGGTACGTATCCATGTCAAAACACGTTGGATCATAGTTATCTCGTAAATATTCTCTTAAAATACGTTAAAATATTATTCTCTTATCTGTTTCATGGTTTTCTAAATTATGTCATTTATAGTGATTACAACACCACATGTCAGTGCGTAATTCAATGTGGCCTATCGTATCGTCCGTGATTGACGACTACCATATATCGTAATGTAGAAGTGGGCATACTTTTCAAAAATCTCGGTCGATAGACCGGCAATCCTGAGTGAATGTCGTGCTTTCCTGAAGCAACTGACAGAAACCACGCCAGACATTATACGTAGTGCCGTAAGATAGATCATGTCCTCTTTCTCCTATATCATTCTTTGATTACCATTCATAACCATCGTGCTAAGAAATGGCCACGGATTAATTAATTTGGATAAGAATAACATTATTATATATTCTACATGAAGTTTGAAATTCATCTGGTTGATTGTATGATTACATTTATCGATTTATCGTTGACTCGATGTCATCATAACTTGGTTACAAAAGCCTCGTTTATAAAAATATGTATCACGTGAGACGAAGAGAGAAAATGTACTGCTTACGAACTTTGTAGGACGCTGAGAACACGAAGATTGTGACAAAGGTATAACAAACGTTTTACACACTGAATGGTATTTAATCGTAAATTCTATGAGGAAAAAGTAGTTTGAATATGAAAACAATGAAACAAATAACAATTCAATAAAATCCTCTCGGGCTATCAGCCGCATCAAGTGGTTAAAACATGAAGAGACCAACTTTTCGATGTCTATCTTTGTCCTCGTCCTCAGGGCCCGAGAGGATTTTATTGTACGCAGTCGCCGTGAAAGCTCAAGATCATGCAAATAACAAAGCTTTTGCTCAAATTCCAACAAAGTTAGAAACTTAAAGAACAGTATCGCGCTGCACGAAGTCAAACGTGGATTGTACGGTATGGATAATTATTTTACGGTGCAGGATTTTTCTGGAGAGGTTAATAATTGCTAGCTAGTCAATAAATTTCAAGGTTAATTGCCGTATTGACAAAAATCCCGCCACTGAACCCTATCTCGAATCAGTTAAATTCGATTCGCAAATTCACATTGCATTTCTCTAAGTTTAGTTTTATTATTATGTTCCAAACTATTTTTATCTCTACCAAGCGGTCTCCTTCGTGTTTTCTAGCTAAAATGTTTTGTTTTCTTTCCATATGCCTGCTATATGTCGCTCCCATTAAATTGTTCTGGGAGAAGATCAGGCTCCATGTTGGCTGACAGTGAGGTTGGTAATATTGGTTTCAGGAGCGTCGTTGGGCACGGTGGTAGCAATGCCTCTCTGCGGACTCGTGTTGAACGCGTGGGGCTGGGAGGCAGTGTTCTACGTGAGCGGGGTCCTCGCGTTTGTGTGGTGTGTAGCCTGGTGGCTTCTCGTCTTTGATACACCAGACCAACACCCGAGAATTTCTCGCGACGAGAGGCAGTACCTGAAAGACAACCTTGGCGATAACAACAACGTCAAGGTAACAGAAAACAAAATTGAATCATTCCCATGCAGCCAAAATCACTAAATCTCTTTTACTGGAATTCGTAGAACGTATACCTTATGTTTCATTAAGTCCAGCGTGTCCCTGATTGACTGAGGAATGTATAACTAGCTAATGGTAGTCGAAGTCGCTTTCACAATAGTATATCAGAATTTAATAAAGTTTTCGTGGTACTTGTTGGTTATCGGGACACAAAACAGGAGAGTTGAATATCTGGACTTGGATTGGACGGAAAACTGCGCATGTGTATCAGTATACCCGTATTTATTATATTTATTTATTTAGTGTTCTGTCTGACGACAGGTCCATATGAACAGGATCCTTCCATCCTTTTCTCGGACTGGGACCTGTTCATATACGTTCTTGGCAGATGATCCAGAAGTGGTTTGACATTGCGTGTGTGAATGGAGTAATTGTTGGGATGCCACGGAGAAACCGGGGAAGCCCCCGGGAGGAAAATTCCGTGTTGCCTAGACCACGGCCTTGCCCAACACACGTACATAACTCGAGTATACTCATACTCTGCACATATAAGCGATTAATGCACTTATTATGGGTTCTTCGCATGAAGTGCGAGAAAGCATGATGGTCTGATCATGTCTGTCCGCCCTCTCTGTCTAGTCGATTCAACTACAGAAACACTGGATTTGGATGACATTAGTTATGGAGGTTGTACTGTTATACACGACCTTAAAACATATTTTGAATATCCTACGAGCCGTTATAACAATGATGGATAAAGAATGTCCTGAGATAGACAATGGAGTGCTGTGATGTGGTGACCAAAGTGACAGCCATCGAACATGGCGTGTTTAATACCTCTAAATGCACGCTGCAAAGAACGCTTGAGGATATTATGTCTATTCCAGTATGGAATACGCTTTCCGAACTTGTTTTACTTTTGCAAACGATTCGTGCTTTGGTTGTCAGAAGCCGCCTGTGCCATGGAAGTCCGTCGTGACGTCGTGGCAGTTCACCGTCGGCTACATCGCCGCTGTGGGGAACGACTGGGGCTTCCACACATTTATGACACTCGGACCCAAGTACTTGAAAGGAGCACTGGGATTCGACATCGAAAAGGTAAGTTAAACACACGTAGTCTACCCGGATATCACGCACTGAGTCTAGCATTTCATTATAAACCACATTTGTGTTTGTTTGGTATAAATAATGACGCTGTCAGTTGCTCAGGCGCTGGACTTTATTCGTTTCTTTCTTTCGTTCATTTATTTTTTTTCCTTTTTTGTTTATTTCCTAAGTATATTAATACATTTCATCCGTGTCATTTAAGGGATTGTTTTATGACTACCCCCTCTTTCTTTTGTTATTTCTTTTTATCTTTCATTTGTTATTTAATCTCTCTGTGTGTGTACATATTTGTCTATTTATTTGTTTTACTGATTGATTGATTGATTGATTGTAAACTGTTGCTGTTTTGTTCCAGAGCAGCTGGTTCACCAGTCTGCCTTACTTGGGTCAGTGGATTTTTGCTAGCATATATGGTACTTTCGCAGACACGTTGTTGAAACGGAAGAAGATGTCACTGCTTGGAGTTCGGAGGATGTCAATCGTCATCTGTGAGTATCTGGTGCAGTTACGTGAACAAATGCAGATTTTAAAGTACATGTACATACAGATATTTCCCAATAGGCATTTAACTGTTTAAAAAATTATTTCATGTACTGGAAATCGAAAAGTCATTTCATCAGCTCTACCTCCAGTGGCAGCTGAATCGATTTCAAATCCCCAGAACCCATAAGCCCACAACAATAGCTAACACAACATTTATTCATTTTAAGATTTTCTAAATTACTATATTGGATTTGACAGATATATTTCAAAACATGGGTCATGTCATTTTGGGGGAGAGAGGTAAAGGAACTGACTAATAAATAAACTGAGCGACTCAATAATCCCTGTGAACCAAAAGACCACAAATCTATTTCTCATAGACTCACATGAAACACACTTCATACGCACCACCTGCAGGGACTTTTGAAGCAGCCTGTATAACGTGAAGATTTAATGCCGTTGGTAAAAAAACACACAATCTTGTTATATTTCCTGTAAGGGGCGGTTTTTACAGAACAATTTGATACCTGAGAAACATTTTCCCTTGTCGATTACCTCGTGACGACCGATAGCCTGAAAACGAGAGTAGAGCCAGCTTCCAGACCGTCTTTTATAGTCTGTTAAATAGGCCGGTGCCGGTGCCCATCACAACCTTGGACAAGGAGCGGCAAAACTTTACAAGGATCATTAGCAGTTGCAGCGAAACTTTCTTCTTCCTGCAGCACATCTGCTCCCGGCCATCAGCCTCGTAGCTCTCTCATTGACAGGGTGCAACACCACATTGGCCGTAGCCATCCTTACGATAGCAGTGACAGTGATCGGTTCCTATGCCAGCGGCTTCTTTCAGAGTCCAATGGATGTTGCACCAAACTTCGCAGGTAAGAAGGTCCTAGTCAAGACAGCTGCTTAGAAAATCAATTAAAACGTGTTTGCTGTAGTCAAAACGGTTAAAATGTTTATTTTTAAAGTCAAATGTTTTTAGTAATTCTTCCATTAAAACACGATCTGAAGGTCTTATTGCCTGGTCAGAAGATCTGGTATCCCTGTATAGGCCTTAGGCGTTCATCGTTTAATTTTTTACAAAATTCCTTATACTGTATGTCAATTCATATGATTTTAAGCTTGAATATTTTAATTATTATATTTGAAATCCCTTTAAAAAGTACTTCTCTTAAAGTATACTTAAAAATTTGGTTCTTAAAATGAGAACGCTGTCACAAATAACAGTGGATTGATGGTGATAAGAAATCAGTTGTTATTTACTGTGAATTATTTTTATAAATTCTACGAATTGAAAACATATATAACAGGAGTCATGTCTGTCTGTATCCATATTTAAAGTTCCAGAATTGCTGAAAATATTTTCAGTTTGCTGTTCGAAAATTTTACTGAAATCTGTCGAACATATCAGTTATTGATAAAAATCATATAATAATGATCACTTTACTATGTGCACGCATTCTGGTACGTCGTGTTTTATGTTTTGTGCAGGTTTGCCACATCTCACTTATTTTGCCCTTTTTGCTGTAATTATTTTAACAATATAAGATAAAAAGGAGCTCCCTGTTTTTAATTTTTCTCTGTTATTTCATCTTTCTTAGATCCCAGTTATGTTCTCAGAACCTTGAGATTGGAAGACACGTAGATTAATTTAGATGTTTTTTTGGAAAATAAACATTGTACAAAAATATTTAACCCTGTGTATTTGCTAGTGTATATGAGTAAGGCCAAATGTTATTTATCAAAAATGCCCTTAAAATCACATTATTCTTTCTACACTTGTAGTTCCTAATTTTCCTTTCTGAAATGTTTATTTCCAAAATTACGGTGCCTCGTGTTACTCATTACGACTGAATCATTGAAGCTATTAATCACTTATCTTTTAATAAAACCCAAAGATTCATTATTTTTCTCAACTGTATCAATTGGTCACTCTGCTGATTCAAATTAATGTAGTCCACACCGTACCATGATACTACCTTAAGACCCAATGTGGTCATAATCTTTCATCTTCTCAGACCAAAATTTTCTTTTTGCTTCTCCCTTGAGATTGCTACATGCTATGAGATCCTCAGCCCCAGATAGTTTGGTGAGACTAATAAAATTTGGTGAAGAGTACAAATTATGAAGCTCCTCATAATATAATTTATTTCATCCTCTACATCAGTGGTCCCCAACGCGGCACCCGCCAAGGCTTTTTTTGTGTGCCGCATTGTTACGGAAAGAGGTTATACTGAATAATGAAGGCTGTTCAACCATGAACATTATAAAATCCAAGCACAGATCTCGACTTACTGACGCCCATCTTGACAATTGTTTGCGAGCAGCGATATCATCCTGCACTCCCAAATTTGAAAAACTGGCCGATGAAATGCAGTGCCAAACATCACACTAACTTCCCACTTGAGTAATAATAATTGTACTTATAAAAGTAAGTATTTTTGATTGCATGGTTTGTTGTATCCTTAAACGTCGTGTTGTTTTGTGTATTATTTGTTGTTCATATCTTATTTGTCCAGAGAAAGGAAAATTTGGCTTTGTTAATTGGTTGGTGGCCGCCACGATCTCATAAACTCTCAAATGTGCCCGTAGGCACAAAAAGGTTGGGGACCACTGGCCTACATGTTCTACATCCTTTGGTTGAGTCCTAAGAAGGATCTATGGAATGTAAATAAACTCTACCCTCATATTCCTTCCTCCTTTCTTCAAATTCTACCCCCAGAACTGTTCTCTTACACCCTTAATAGGTGTTCTCCACCTAATGTGACATCAAGTTTCACACCCATACAGAAATTGTTAAAATTGTATGTTTTTTTTATATTTTAATCTTTACATTCTTAGATAGCAGACAGGAAGACAAACAAAAGCAAATACAGTATTTATGGTGCAAGAGAGATCTTGCAATTTTGTGCAATTTATTGAAATGTTTTTGTAGGTTCACTGACAGGAGTTATGAATGCCATTGGATCAATAACACCCATTATCTCCACTCCAATTGCCGGTGCAGTCTTGCAGAATGATGTAAGTTCTCATGTCGAGTATGTAATAATTACATATTAAACAGATTATTTTTCTCCCTCCCCAAATGTCCTTACACAGAGTCTTACGTGACAGACAGATATACTCAATAAAGTAAGTTCCTGAGTATATGATGACCAGGTTCAAACCCCGGCAGAGGCTGGGTTTTCTCTTTGCCACCAAATTCAGATTGTAGCTTCCATCTCTTTCAACACTGTATTAACTCTGCCATTGAGATTGTGTCATAAAGTAAGCCAAGTAAAAGTAAAGTAAAGCTGTCCCATTATACACCATGTAGGCACTTCGGGGGAGAGGGGGTATAGCTCCTACTCATTCTTGACCTCGGCACTAGATGGGGGTGAGTGGTAAGCATTACGTCCCGGCCGCGCTTTACGCCCGGTACCCATTGGATAGGAAGCTGGGTGGACGCAGAGGCTAGAGGGTGGCTTATTTGTTGACATGTCTACCGCTTAAATTACTTTCTTAACATTTAATTAGTAAGGGAAAGCTGATTATGAATGATGAACTTGAAATAAAGGGAGTGAGGTGGTTTAGGCACGTATTAATTAATTCCAGAATTTGTATGAAGGTGGAGGGAAGAACCGTCAGTCAGAATAGTTTATCTCCTACTTGACATTCTGAGTTCCTCCTGGATATGAAGCAGTAGTTCTGACTTCTTCTTCTTCTTTAGCACTACGGCCCTTCCAATGTAGCCCTGGCTTCTCTTGCGATCGATTCCCAGTCTTCCCTATTCTGTGCTTTTCTTCTCCGGCCTCTTACGCCCACCTGTTTAAGATCAGACTCCACGTCTTCGATCCACTGGAGTTTCGGTCTTCCTTTCTTTAATTTGTCAGGAGGTTTACTATTGATGATCATCTTACATCCTCTATCATCACTCATTCGGAGTATATGTCCAAGCCAGTAGTTCTGACTACTAAACCTTAGTTTGAGGACTAGGTGATTTATGAATGAATTTACTTATATATTTATTTATTTATTTAGACTATTTTTTAAAACAAAGTGTGTATCAACCTTTTGTAAATAATCACATTACTGTATATTTAGCATAAGCATGCTTAATACACATGCAACCAATTAGGTAACCAGAGATAACCTAACCACTGACCTATGATGCCACCTAATCTCATATCATTTAAATGGTTGCATCCCCACTGTGTGATATTGTGTTATGTGCATTACGTACTGTGTTACAAGGAATTTAGACAAATTATTCATGCCGTTCACTGTTTGTAATACACGTTTATTTTGTAATATGTCTCTCAAATGTACTGCCAATAGATATGTAAGAAATCTCATGTAGGTAAATACTAAGATGGCAGTCTTCTGGGCTGTGGCACAGTATAGTCTGGTAGAAGTTTACCAATGTTTCAGAGGTCCTTGCTGCCTCTATTATCAGGGTGATGAGTTCAAATCTGAACTAGGAGATTAGCAATTCTGACTGATGGTTTTCCTGACCATCTTCATACAAATTCTGGGATAATTGTCTTAATACTGGCCTCAGTCACTTTCCTGTTTATACTTCGAGCTCATCATTCATAATCAGCTTTCCATTACTACTTAAATGTTAAGTAGACACTGCCAACAAATAAGCTATGAACCCGACAGCATCTTCAATTACATTTCAACAAAGCTTCACTGTTTGCCCTGGTAATGTAGGCAACAACGACCTCAGAAACTTTGGTAAACTTCTACTTGATTACATGACGCTATAACCATACCCATTTTTGTACTCACCACCATGAGAACCTTGAATCATCGTGCAGGCAGTTTCCGTTCTATTTTTATTGTTTTACCCTGTAACCCATGTTTCATGTGCAATATTGTGTAGCTTTAGTAAAATATCTCATCTCATTTAATTTTTATGTTTTTTCAGTACACATTTTACCCTAATATACAGCCCATGTGTAATCATTTACCTGAATTTTCAGTTTAATTAAATTCATTATAGGTAACAATTATTTAATAATTTATTAAAAGTATAGCTGTCTCTTTTTTCTGACAAGTGGAATGAACATACAGAAATATTTTGTAATCTTCTTATATGGCTCTCCAGTCCGTAATTGGTCCATGGCCTCCTCAATTCTCCTCTTCCATTCAGTCCTAATGTTAGGTCCGCCTGTCCGAGGCTTTGATTGAGGTTTCGAAACATCTTTCTTTTTACGGTGCAAGGTTGTTAGCCTTGCGACCAACCCCCAATCTGGAGGACCAGGTACCTGTCTTAGTCTGACCTCTCCCCCTTGACCAATCTGGCTAGGGAGTCCCCTGCCAGTAGCTATGCTAACTATTTTGTAATAGGTACTGAATATTCAGAAGGTCTGGAATAAAGGTTGATTTTTTATGTATTTTTTGCAGAGCACTACTAATGGATGGAGAGGTATATTTTGGATAGCGGCATTAATGTACACACTGTGCAGTCTTCCATACATCATATGCTTTAATGCCCAGATACAACCTTGGAATAATGCACAGAAAGAAGAGGTGAAGACTACTGCAGTGTTAGTCATGTCCAATGTTGTGACATCTGATGCAGAAGATTCATATGTTGATGCTCTGACAAAATCCAAGCAAGGATAATGAGAATGCAAATAATTACAATTACAGGAAATTTTCAAGGTGAAAGTTGCCTCACCCCTAATTTTCCTTACAGTTTGTCTACATATATAACCTATTGTTCTCTGAACTTCAGTCCACCTCTCAAATTTGGAAAATCCAACATTGCTGAGTAATTATGTTACTCAGAGTTTCAACATCTGTGGTTTAAATTATAGAACTTGTGTGCCAAAATTAAAAAAGTATGACTTGAAAGAACTTGTCTTCAGATATTTCCATTTATGCAAGAAGGTTAACTGAAAGCTACATAACCTTTAAAGCGTAAAATGTTTACGTGTGTTTTTGATCTGCTTGTCATAATGCAGCTACCATTCTACAAAATATGATTGTGGCCGGGGCCATGAAATATTTTGTGTTTACAGATTTTCTCATTTTTTTGCCGATCATAATTTTCACTGGTTTTAATTTATAAATGAATTGTCATATTTGTCCCCTACCAATCCTAAACAGTTCTATACTGACTGAAATAAACTGCATTACCCAAATTTCAGAATTTAATGAGTCTTTGTTACAAACTTTGATTAAATATCATTAGAGTGAGGAAATCATTCATATTTCTATTCGTATTTATGAACATTTACACTGTTAGACCCTATATTCATTTGCTCAGTGACATTAAAGATTTTTTAATTAGCCCATAATTTATGACACAATGAGAGACATCATTCTTGACTTGATTGCTGCATGAGTGTTTCTATGGTTTTAGTAACAAAAGAGCCTGTAATATTTTTATATGTAAGAGAATTATATTATATATGATTTGATGTGGCTGTTCAGCTGAATATGTATTCATTTGATTAATGAATCGTCTAGCAGACTATATTAAAAACAAAAGGCAATATTAAAGTTCGATTTAAAATCTGGTATTTGTATGTTAATATAGTGAAAATTCCTGCCGATGTGACCATGGCTCCAAAATTTGTTACTTTGGCTGCCAGACTGACAGTATATCATAGTCATTCTTGTGGTAAGCACAAAGACCTCTCACAAAGGAGGCTGTTCACTCCATGTGGAACTTCTGGTGGTCTATGTTACTATACGGGCTTTATGGGATTCTCCGTCTCATTCATTTTGCATTACCTCACACTACACTCATTACCATCTCTTAAATAATCTTATCCAGAGATGAAGTGTCCATGTTATCCATGTTAGTCCAGCTAATAATTTGATAAACAAGCAAATAAATTAAAGTAATCTGTCTTACTTTTCTATATTCTTACATATAAACACGTCATAGTCATGATAATAAAGAGACATGCTCACACCAGTTAGAAATATTGATGTCTGTGAAGAAATCACCAGACAATATTAACTAAAAGCTCATAGATTTTTCATTTATCGTGAAGAAGTAGACGATTGGTTTATTTTGCTCAGACAACATACATTTAATGGCTTCAGACTAGGGGTATGCTGCTAATTTATTAACAAGATGCTCGCACCAGAAGCTGTATGTTTTGTATGTAAAGCACAATAATATTTTATAAGATAAATATGTTGATCATAGTGTTTCACACAAACACACAGGTCCTCTTCACATTTGGAATTTGGAAATAGGAATGGGCAACATTTATCAATATATGGATGTGTGTAATGAGATTTTGATACAGGTGTATAACATTTATCATATATTTTGTATGCCGATAACAAAGGGCTCGGATAATTAGCCAAAAATTAAGAAGGTGCTAAAGTAAAGTTTTCTACACACACACACACACACACACCCAACATAAACCTCACCAAATCAGAACAAATAATATTTAATGCCAATTATACACACATTAAAAGTTAATTCAAACTTTGTTTCACTAGTTTGCTGTATATTTTTATTTTATTATTTTATTAAATATATAATGTGCGATTTACTTCCGCAGGGACTGTCGTTTCAAATTGTTGTCGCTAGATGGTGGCACCAACATTTCTCTAATCACGTTCTGAAAACAAACGAGGGAGTAGAGCACATCAAATGGCGTCTTTCTGAACGTTTGTATTATCTCTGATTTGTAGTAACATTGAACGCACACTAATGTTTGGGAACTTGGCGGGAACTAATTGCAAAAGTATTAAGCGGAAGATTGAAGTTATTTTATTTCTTTAAAAATGCCGGCTGATCAGATCCAGTATTCTGAGAAGTACCATGACGATAAGTATGAATATAGGTGAGGCAAGATCTAATACTGATTATCTTAAATAATAATTTATGTCCATGAACAACTCTGCTGTGCTGCATTGGTATTGTACTAATGGTGCTAAAAATATTAATGTTACAGACACGTCATTTTGCCACCAGACATTGCGAGACATGTGCCTAAACCACATTTAATGACAGAAACTGAGTGGCGAAATCTTGGAGTTCAACAGAGCCCAGGTTGGGTTCACTATATGATTCATACACCAGGTATAGTGCAAGGTTATGCTTAGGTTAGGCTGTATCTTTGTTCTTTCCTATTGTAGTACCTCATCCTGATAGATACTTTGTGAACTTTACATCCCAAAATATTATACAGGTTCAATTCGTATTATAAGTTGTAGTGCAGATGAATGGTAAGTAGGTTAGAATATGTTGCTAATGTTCAGAAATTGACTGTTCTTGTCCATTGTTTTAGTCACAGGTTTTTAGGTGATTCATGTTATGTATCTGTTTGCTTGCTTGTTTGCTATTTGTAAAAATATTGTATGTGTATTTGGAACAGTGTCTTTGGGAAATTGGTGGTCACTCAGCTGCTCAAATAACCCTACCTTCTATGGAACACAAAGGTTAATTGAAGAGCACTTGGTCGAATGTAGTCCATATCTTCAGTTCCTATTGAAGTATCTGGTTTATGGAATCCAGTATTCAAAGATGTATTGATACATACTTTTCACAGGAAATTCATTATTCAGATATTACACAGACTTGCCTTTAACCTGTAATTTCTATGGGGTTTTTGAATTATAAGGATTACGTTTTCTCATAACTCATGTTTCATGTCAACTTTTTCTTTATTCTTGCTCCCCAGGAGAAAAAAAATACATAGCATCTTTGCTACTGAAATTAACCTTCATCAAGTGGACATTATGGGACTGGCAGCTGGATTTCAAATTAGGGGACTTAACTAGTAATGATGCTGGTGCAGAAAGCCCTTGTTCAAATTTGATTTGTTTATATGTGCAAAAACAAATGTGAACAACTGTTTGCCAAATGCAGAAAATCTAAATGTATACAGTCTGCCAAATATGCTGTCTTACTGTATATGTCAACGCATGCTCTGATATTTTTTCCTAATCTCTTCAATATTCACACATCTCTCTCATTTATATTTTGATTTACTATATGTAAATATTGTTTGTAGCTTTATTATACGTTTATTTAATATAGGTTATAGGTGCTGTAAATAACCTGTATGTGTAAGCTGTATATTACCAGGTTAATATGTCTCCTGCAGTGGATCATTAAAAGTCTCTGATATTTAAAAGTGTTACAGCAGCCATTTAAAAATTCAATATCTCAGCCATCTTTTATTATAAAATTATGAAATGAAGACTTGTTTGAAATACCAATTATATCAAAATTTGTTTGTGCATGCTTTTAGGTACTGTGTGTAGCCCTTCTATAAAGTTCATTTATTTTTTGAAACATTTATTGTGCTTGCCGCATGGATGGGGCAAGAGATGTGCGTCAGAAAGCCTGAGGGGAAGAGACTGCTGGGGAGATGTAGACGCAGTTGGGAGGATAATCTCGGGCAGGGTCTATGGGAAATAGGAGTTGAAGGAGACTGTATTTTATTTCTCAAGAAATAACAGTTGTCTTTTATTATCAAAGTATAAAGAGAATACTAGTAATTCATTATTTCATATCATACCAGCTATTGATTCTCCATTTAGTGTTGGGTATATTTTCTAGAATTTGTTGGCCATGGCCAGATTATTTCTCTGCATGCAAAGTACCAGGTGTGGACACAGTATTTTGCATGCTGTATTAATAAAGACTGCAAGAATTTAATTATAAATATTAGTACTCATGAATGCATTATAAGATGTGCATAGAACATATTAATCCATGGCCATTTTTATTGTATTCCACATACAAAATTACTTTGGATTTCTTATTTCAATCAAAATTGTTTTGATCTGCCATATATGTGAATTTTTCAAAGGAATATGAATTGTAGGCTGTGGATATAACTTTATAAGCAAAAATTTGCATTCTTGGTTTTTCAGAACCTCATGTGCTACTGTTCCGGCGAGCACGTATGGAGGTTCCCCAAGGCTCAACATCACATGCAGCTGCAGCCAGATGTGTTGCTGTTAAGTGAATTGTACTCTGTACTATTTGTGATTACCAAAAATGGACTTACGACACATTACTACTTTGCTGAAGATTTAAAATTATTATAATAGACTGATAGTTGCTTTTGATCCTAGTTATAAGTGTTCTTGATGTGCCAGATTTGTATTCTTTTCCATTGTATAGTAATATTTTTGTAATACAGATTGTTTTCTTATTTCCTAGACTTGAAATTCTTTGCATGTATTGGTTAATTGAAATTAGCTTAATTTTATGGAATGCTACATATTTGATTTGAGACTTTCGCAGCAAGTACAGTCAATAAAATCTTCTCGGGCAATCAGCCGTGTTAACTGGTTACCTTAGTAAAGCAACGTTTCGGAAACCAACTTTGTCCCCATCATCAGGGTTCAGAACGTCGGTTTACTACGGTAACCAGTTAACGCGGCTGATTGCTCAAGAAGATTTTATTTCTACATATTTGTTCATAAGGAAGTATTAATGTCAGGATCATTTGTAATGATAGTATAGGCATTCAGCCCTGTTCTTACTTAACATAGTCATACATATTTGTTTTGTTCAATTGAAGGTGCCATGGAATATAACTGCCTTTCTCCAATAAGCATGACACATATCTTGGTCCTGCATAGTAAGAACCTTTGTAATAAGTAATTATATTAGCATCCAGCAAATGGAGGTCATGTCTATGCCTCGTGTTAAACATGTGTTGTAGAATTTGTTTGAAAGTTTTCCATGCTGTCCACAACAAATAGCAGTAATAGGTAAGGATTCACTTATAAGTGGAAGTATATAAAATTTCTTAAAGTGGTTCTCTAGTAGAGACATTGTAACACCTACCATTATTCTAATGTTTTTCTTTTGGATGTTAAACACAGAGTGGATGAAAATAAATGACTAGAATTCAGACATGAAACATTCATTGCTTTGGATGTAGCAACAAAACTAATCATTGTCCCCACCTCTCAAGGTTTTGTTGTTCTTTGGTCACTCCTATGGCCCAAGTCAAGTATGCATTTAAGCACTGCCCTTGAGAAGAGATGGTGACAATTTAGCAAAAACATAACATGTTCTGTGGTATTTCAAGTTCAATTTGATAATTTAAGTATAACAAATTTAATTGTGCACATGGGATGGTCCACCAGATAATAAAGTCTTCAGCATGTATGCTGCAGTTTTGTGTGGAATCCCAAAAAATTAAGACGTGCAGGTTTGGAACTTAATATCTCAAAGTTCCCTGGCTGATGTGCTTCACATGAAACTGTCTCAGAACTTCCTCTGATTTCAGTCTGGCAAGAACTGGATTACTATGTGGAGGTGTGTCAAGCAACAGGAGGCACACATGGAACTTGTATCACTGTAGCAAAACTTTTGAGAGACTGATACATGTGAAATATTTGTACTTTTTTCCAAAGAAACTGATGTTGCTGAGGAACTTTCTCCAGCAGATATCAGTAGGGTGAGACTAGTTCAACTAGTATACATACACGTTAATCCTAAGAACAATTTCAATTATATTTCAAAAGTGTTAAGTTGGAGGGTTAAGGACTGTGTAGGGTAAATAGCAGATGCCCCTTTTGCCGATAGAACATCCGTAGCTGTCACTCAACGCCAATGTTCCTTTGTTGTATTAAGAATAGCAGAAGTATGCCTAATGATTTGCAATGAGATTTGTCAGTAATCTGTGCCGCGGTCATGCTGTCGGCAGCAGGCATTTGCGACATCTATCAACAACGGAGTATAGTAACGAACAAACGATGCATGCCAAGGACCCCCACTCGTTGGAGATAACAGGATGCAGCTGTATCTTTATTTCTGAATTTTCTATAAACCGTCGTGACGCTTGCGCACTTGTCTTCCTAACACAGATCGCCGAATATTTCTATTATCTTTGGTTGGGTGTGTTTTGTAAGCTGCTGAGGTCTGTGTTGATAATCTGCAGATGACGTAAACTTTTAGTAACGCACTACTTGAATGATTCGATTGCCAAACGAAATAAGGTTGCTTCCAAATATGCAGTGAGGGTATTTTTCACTTCTTCTTAAACTAACATGTTTTATCATGTAAGTACCTATTCGAGAAATTATGAATAGGTTATACTGTACGTGTTGCAGGAAGGCTTGTATGGTTGTGGTTATTTAGCGGCGCTTTCACAATCACATTGGTCAAACGACAGATGGCAATAAACATTTTGTTTGGACAGTGCGCAAAACATGTTAAACTTTAGGCTGTCTCATATATTCAGTAACTTCTATGTATTGGGCATTAAACATGTCGCAAAAGTTGGTCTTTGTAACTTTTAAACCAAATGTATTTTATGAAATTTTGTGTACTACTGTGTGTGGTAGTGTTTGTTAGGTAACATGGCTAGTTGATTTGTGTGGACTGAGAATGAAAGCCACGTGAACTCTATCCACCTGAACTTCAGTGACTGGTTATTTTCAGGCTTTCAGAAAAGTATTTCAAGCGATACTGGCAATAGTGTCTTTTTATAGTGTTAATACTTGTTTGTTTACTTATTTTATAGCAGCCAGTCTGATCAAACAATTTATACCACTTGTTAATCTATATTTTTGTGCATTTTTCCCTTCCAGTTATCTGTGAAATCTGCTTTGCTCTGTAAACTCAGACCTAGACTCATGAAACAACAGCATGCATTTAGCTTTTTTGTACTTCAGACACCATTTAAACAACTGTAACTGTAGCGCTTGAGGTGGAAAGATCTATGAACAAAATTTAGAGGTACTAAATGTTAAAGAGAGTTTTACATATATTTACCATTGTGCTTTAAAGGGTTAAAATGGACCATATATTTTCAAGTAATTTCTAATTTATTGTCCTGCCATGACTTATGTAGTTGACAAAGAAACATTAAATAACCAAGAAACACACCAACCATTTGGATGACCTCACCTTTACCTCTTTGCTTGGGTAGATAAATCGAGTTATATTTTACAAGTGAGTCAGCATTTTTTAGAAACCATGCAGGAATTGGTCAGTACACTACACTGCACTGCAAGCAGATCAGTTTCCATCTTCATGATTATCTAAATCATAACCCTTAAGGTACAACTGGCCTGTTCTGGCAGGTGGCAGTGAACTGTATGTATTTCTGTTTAAGTTTTTTAATGATGCTGACAGTAGCTGAGACTGTATATAGCATTGAATCAGTTGGTCTTAGACAAATTATATAATATTGATTAAAAACGTATATCACTACACTGCATTTTGTTTGTAAGTATGATACAACGCAATAAAATGCTGTATTTAAACTCATAACTGAATTATATACATTATTTGCCCTCTATATTGCCCATAACTGCAAAAGAGAAAGATTTGACAAAGCATTTAAAAAAAGCTTAATTTTTTTTATATGTAGATGATGTTTTAGGTGCTGGCATTATGCTTTGCATTTGTTGGTAAGGAATTCTCAAACCCTATCTTTAAATTATTTTACCATATACTGGTATAGAATTGAATATTATTGCAATAACATACTCATTTAACTTTTCAGATTTCATTGGAACATGAGATTCTTCTGCATCCCCGTTATTTTGGTCCACAGTTACTGGAGACAGTTAAACAAAAGTTATATACTGAAGTAGAAGGAACTTGTACTGGAAAGTAAGTTGAATGAGCTGTGCCCTTAAGTATGCGTTTTGGCTTTGCTGTAACACATTCTACATCCATATCATGAGAACACACTTATGACTCTGTGATATTCAGATTTTTAACTCAGATGTGTCCATAATATACAAAATTCGTTGCTGTGGCCTTCACTTCATGCTTCATAAGTAACAAACAGGAACAGTTAGTGAGTACAAATTATAGAAATGAAGATGGTGCTGGTTGCAGTTTCTTCTGAGACCAAGTGCACATTGGTTATTCACAATAATATGACATGGTTAGTCCAGACATCAGAAAAGACAAGTAATACATGCTTATTCCATAGTCACCATTGCTTGTCAGTTAGCCATTTCTGAGCAGTATGTTGGGGGATGTTGTTACATTACAGGTGCACTTATGATTTGGGGGTATTGGTATAAGCAACATTTTAATAGAAGAATGTATTGTTCAGCACAGGGACAATAAAAATACCTCAGAAAGATTAATTTATTAATTGAACTCTGAACAAGAGAAGTTGTACAGTTACACATGAATGATGATGAAAAAACTTTTTCATGGTTGTTTAATCTTATATGGGTTTTGAAAAAGAAAAAGTTACTTAGGGATGTTGATTACAAAGAAACTTCTTAATCCAAAGTAGTTCACTGCACATTTTATTCTTACTTCATATATTTCTTTTCAGGTATGGCTTTGTAATAGCTGTAACCTCCATTGACAACATTGGGGCGGGACTCATACAACCTGGTCAGGGATTTGTTGTGTATCCTGTGAAATACAAAGCTATTGTGTTCAGGCCTTTCAAGGGAGAGGTTCTAGATGCTGTTGTAACTCAAGTGAATAAGGTACAGTTTTCATAAAGATTGTGTCTGTAATTTAAGTTCAGTTAAATTATGTACCAGCTCAAAGGAAAATATCATCCCCGGCAAAACACAAATTTGTCCAAGTTCAGTGACAGGACATGATACGCAGTTAATGAAAGCAGAATTGTGAGGAAAATATATAAACTTAAGAGAAATTAGCTAAACAGGAGAATGGAATATTGCATGAGAAACACTGATCTGTGTTCTTCTGGTACTGTTACACTTGTGAAGTCAGGAGGCAATAATACCGTGTACAAATTTATCTACAAGCTACTGCCACCTTGTAGGAGTCATTTTAATAATTTTGGTTCATGTTTTGGAACCATTGATATGTATGTTTTCTTTCTAGGTTGGAATGTTTGCTGAAATTGGACCTCTATCATGTTTCATTTCGCATCATGTAAGTGACTGGATGATGTCATAATTTCAACATTATGTTTTCATTAGCTTATAAAATTCTGGAAAATGGTTATTCTAATGGGTACTTTTTGAAACCTTTCTCATATCTTCTGAGTAAACATGTCTTAATGAGGTACTAAGGTTTAAAAAACATTGATGTTTTTAGAGCAAGGTGCAGGTACCGTTAAGTGGGAGGCAGGACATGACAGGATGGTATTTCCAGGCTAAGATTTGACTTCAGAAATGTGAAACTGGGATGGTGATCACTTTGACAGTAGGCCTGATGTTCAGTACAAAAGGAAGTGCTAATACAGTTTATATTGTGTAACTGTTAGAATGTTTTGTATCTGGTACACAGTTTTGAAAATTAAAGCAACTTGTGCATAGTGTGTGTTCTTTTGAGACATTTTATTGTTACTATGAATATTCTTAGAGAAAGCATAACAGTGTATTTATTGTAACCAAGAATATTCCTAGATTATGCATAAATCCTCTGTTTTGACACAGCTGTGTTCAGTGTAGACACTCAATAAATATTTGCAGTTCATTTTTTCTACAGAATAAGTTATATACGAGTTAAGTTAATACTTGTGACATAGGCAGCCCAGTACGCAAGTAATGTGTGCATGCATAACCCCCTATTCTTGAGTGGTGAACATTAGTCTTTAGTACAAATATATTTCTTACATGTCTTTGTTGCTTTCTGCTGCTCTGCTGTGTGTAGTATTGTTATTCATTTATTTGTTTTGTTATTTATGGTTATTTTATAACTTCCATTGTTATAAAGTATTAGACTAACTCCCTGGTAGCAGAACCAGCAGATCCAACACTGACAACACCAAATCCCTGATATTACCAGTAAATTTTATTTTGAATTAGAACAAACAGTCTGCTAAAAGTGCAGTACATTACTTCCCAGGCCGCATACATATTGTATGCGAGTTAATACTCGCATACAATACATAATTTATGACATCTATTGACAGCTGCCTAGGCATGTGTAATCAGTGCTACATTCCATGTAAGAATTAGTGCACTGAGTAATAACATATTTAATTTTATTCCAGTCCATTCCAGCTGACATGCAGTTCTGTCCAAATTTTAACCCACCTTGTTACAAGTCAAAATATGAGGTGAGTATTTTTATTTGTGGTTTATTTAACAATGTTGACAGTTGTTCAGATTACCCAGCATCTAACTAACTAGATGACTTACGGAACCAAAGGTTCATCATCAAGTTATGCTTTTGCCACAGATGTGCTATTTGACATTGTTTCTGATAATGATTTCCCATTCCCATTAAGAAATTGCTGTCTTTACAGAATGTTGTTATCCAGGCAGATGATGAAATACGTCTAAAGATTGTGGGTACAAGAGTTGATGCGTCTGGTATTGTAAGTTACAGTGGCTCAACCACAACTGTACTTTATAGCTTATACATATGTAGAAAGTTTTATGCAGTGAAGAGGCAGTAGTTCCTGAAGGATAATTCTACTGAATACATTTTTAAGTATAATCAACACAGTTTAGATAAAATTGATTTTTTGGGGGAGATGTATATGTGCAAGTATAGTTTTACCCCATCTGTTTGAGGAAACATGATTACTTTTGCATAAATGTGATGATGAAATTGATTTTTGTGGTTATTTGTCCTGTTGGGGTAAATTCTGTTGAATATGATTAAAATGGAGTGCTAGTACCATTGTAAATGGATGTGAAATTAGAGGTGACATTTTTAAAAGTTTCTCTGTTCTCTGGTTTAAAAATTGTTGATAGTGGAATATAAATGTTTACAAATACATTTCAATCTGTATTTGTTCTGTCTCCAAATCCTAGTGTGGAAATTGCCCTTTTAGCAATTCAGGATAGGAGCTGGAGCTTACTGCTACAGTAGGTGTGCTGTGTATGTCAGGTGGTGATTTGATAAACTGTTTGCATGCTGTACATGGGATGTTGTTGAGTTATTAAATATGGTTCTGATATTTAATTAATCCAAAAACAAATTTAGGCTTACTATAATTTTGGTGGCAGTTTGCCTCTGCAGCAAGCCAATTTCCAAAATCAAAGAAGATGAAAACCAAAGTTTCTGAAGCTTGCTAAAACCAACAACACACTTCCCTTTAAATTGGAAAATCCTTCTTCCAAAATCATATCTCTTCATTGCTATTGGATGGTTCTTTTATCTGAGCCCTGAATAATAGGATTGAGATGCAGTATTCATAATCAGATATTTGATAGGGTAACTGTTTTTGAAACAGAGCAAAAGTACGTCCATTTGAAAACTGTGTAGTGAGATGTGACTTAGGTCCCTGTGTTGTTCCAAGATTCTTAGCAGAATTGTTAGGATCATAATCAAATGCACAGTTGTAGCCCATTTTGCACTGTAACTGATATTGTTATACAATAATTAAAGAACTAGTAGACAGTAGAATACTAAAGTTGTCAGCCAAAGTTCTGAAAAAAGTCAGCTTAAAAATTTACGTACTTCTTGGCTTTGAAATTCATCTTTGTTGGTTAGTTCTCATGTATGTTTTCAGTTTTACAAACTCACAAATGGAAAAAAATACAATTAACTCTTGGTGAATACTTGCTAGCCTGTGCTAATATAATGGCTCAACATTCAGTAACTCTTTGATGCCAAAACTCATCTTGGTATTTAAACATTTACTACCTACCTCAAAGTAAACATGATGTTCTTCATTACAATGATCAGCTGGTTAATGCTGTTAGGGGAAATAATGGCTGTTTATTCTGAGAATCACATGAAACCCATAAATAGAGTCTGCAGAAAATGCAGAGCTATTGATTGAATATTGAAGTGCATAATTACCACTGGAGTTTGAAATGTTAATACAAATCTTGATGGAAAGACTCATTAATTTTGGTAGTAAGTGGATCCTATCTAGGTACAATCACATTATTATTTTTAAAGCATAATACATAGGAATTGATTTATGGATTAATGTAACTTTTTCTTTTCAGTTTGCCATTGGGACCTTAATGGATGACTATCTTGGTAAGGACTTTGCAATGTACCTAACAATATACCTATGACTAATTTAGTTAGTCTATTTTATGTACATATTTTTACCATGTTAACTGCTGGGATATCTCATTCAGTATAATGACTACGTTATGGGCTGGATGACCAAGGTTAAATTCCCAGCAGAGACATTTTTTCTTCCTCCCTTCCCCTTTCTGCACTTACATGTTCACCCTCATATTCAGTGTTTATCAGGGGCATTTTTTAGGGGGGTAAAACAGCCAAGGTACAAAGCTGACCTCCTCCATGTTGCCCTAAGGTTAAGAATGTGTGGAGTTATACCCTCATTTCCCCATACATCTTTATGGTGTGTTGTTTAATTAAGCACAGGAATATGTCTTCGTGGTATGATGCTTATTTAAGTATAGGAGCAGTTTTACTTGTGAAATTTGGTGTAAAATATGTGTGATGACTTGAGTTGATTCCTTGACATTGAACACATTCCTTTGAAAATAGTAGATGCTACTGTTTGTTTTTACACTGTCACCAAAGCCCTATACAAAAATAGTGCTAAACTGAGATATGGATCATCTTTATGTTGCTGTCATATGCTGGTAGTTAAGCACCAGTAGTTTCAAATTATCTTGCTTTTGCTTTGTACAATCCAGTTGATAATATTACAAATATCATTCATCTCCCTATCATATTTTTACATGAGTATTTGGCATTTTAATGTGATCTGTTATGTTAAAAAAGTATAATAATTCTAAGGACATTAACCCTCTGTAAGAGAGATGGCCTGTAAGTGGTTTCCCAAGTTCTTGCACAAATGTCTATTTCTTATAATTTGATGCAAATTTTTCTTTATAGGTTTGGTATGCAGCTAGTTGATGATGTCTGTAACACGCAGACACAGAAAGTATTCTAATCCTTTGCAATTCAGAGACATTGTGCTCCATTGTACAGGTTGGTATGAAAGATAATTATGATTTGATTATTTTTGACATACAATTTTCAAAAACTGGGAACTTCCATGCATATTAGACTGAAAAGAGGTGATATTATATTATAGAACTCTGGATTTGAGCATTGAGGTTTTTGTCACAAAACTGCTGTACATGTTTGTAGTGTTACTTTAAAATAATGGCTGTCTGAATGTTAGAATCATACATTGTCATTGTTTGCTGTTAATTTATCTTATTTTTGTGATTATATAAAAATAAAACATTCATACATTTTTATAGTAGTCTCAACTTTTGTTATTTCGGTTAGGGTTACCCAGCTTTTTGTAAGTTACTGGCTGATCGATGTTTTCAGTATTTTGAAGCACTCTAATGTGAAACAGAGGAGCAGCAGAGGAAACAATAAGCGGGTTGCATAAGCAACTGAATGACAAGCTAGGATTGTTAAAGTGCGTTAAATTATTTGGGTGCAGGGTGATCACCCAGGGTGCCAAATTGACTTAGGTATTTCATAAAAAGTTATTAAGTACAACTTCCTTCTTTTAACTAAGCAAAGAAAAATGTGAATTTTGTGGTCTTCTTTGTTATGTTCTCTCCTCACATCTGACAATGCATTCATTTAACAATATTGTTCAGCATGAAGATCTGGCCGCACTTTGTTGCACATGGAGTGGAGAGATTACATCGTTGAAGTCATAAACTCATTGTCAACTGTGAAACAGTGAATGTTGCAACAGTTGCCTATTTGAAGGAGAGATCTAGGTGCTTCATGTAATGGCATTTTTCACTTGAAATATGTTGAGTTTTTGTAAGAAAATTTAATATGTATGATATGCTGCATCTTTAGAACAGGTCGAGAAAGGACAGCAGTTGAGACCATGAATAGTGTAAATCTACACAAATTCAGGTCAGTTAGTGTTATATAGTGTTTCATATTTATTATGTTTAATAAAATTTAGGGGGATGGGGTGTGAATGATCTAGATGTGAAATTAAATATGATACATAATGGATTTGTAGTTGGTTTGTGTTATTACTTATTGAAGATGGCTGTTTTCTTGGTTATTGTGTTGTGTAGACTGACAGAAGTTTATCAGCATGCCCTCTTGATGGAGACCGCAAGCAGTCTTAATGTGCTGGTGAATGTCTGCCAGATTACATGGTGTAACAACCCAGAAGACAATCATCTTTATGTTCACTGCTTGTGAGAAGCAAAAATTCAGTTCTTTTTGTAAAGTTAAGAGTGATATGTTGGGATTATGTTTAAAATTGAAAGTCTGATCTGTTTAGTCATCCTTGACTGGACACATGCATTGTGCTGGTGGGGGAACTCTAACTAACTAACTAGATGGCTTACCGAACCCGAAAGTTCATCACCGAATTAACCAAAGCCCTCCACTGGATCCTGCCCTTGGCCAACAAAATCCAGTCTCCTTCAACTCCTATCTCCCATAGATCCCACCTGACATTATCCTCCCATCTACGTCTAGGTCTCTTCTGTGGTGTGCTAAAGAGAAGTGTGTTAATTGATGAGAATTTAGATTACAGAAATGTCATTTTAATTTCAGGTCAAATTAACCCCTTAAATCCCAGTGGTAACATTATGTAGCGGCTACATTAGAAATCAGCAACTCGTTCGTACAACAGCATTAACCAATTAATCTTTGTAATGGTTGTGTTTTATATTTAAGTATTATTTTAAGCTGGTTGTCAGACTACACAGCATTAAAACCAAAAGACAAACATCTCACGGACTGAACGCCGTGAAAGCCTCAAATCCTACTAAATATTATTTACACAAACTTAATGTGACCAGCAGAGTGACTGTATGCTGGATGTATCAGAGCAAAGTGTCAAGGTAACCCCTTTGGTTGAAATTTCCTATATGAAAGCCGACTAAAAAGCAATAGGCCTCGATTTGCTACGGAAACATGCTAAAACCATAAACGTTACTGTGCAATAAAATCGTATCATTAAGGCAGTCAGTACAGTATATTAGTTATACTGAAATTAAAATTATTTGTATTATAATTCCATGGCAACTGCTTGAAATTATATGCAACGTATGACGCTCATTTACATCTTGAAATGATTTCAATTCACGCAAAGACTCGTTGACGCCGCATAATGCAGCGCCAAAGATACTTATCAAAGCGGAATCAAAGAGAAGCTGCAATATGGCCAACCTTTCAATATAACGAATATGTTACATCTGTGTTGTGGGGTTATTTTGTTGGAATTTGATGGTTCTTGAGTGATATTTTTCACGTAAGACTAATTAGTGAAACAAATTTAAGTTTCAATAGACTTATAATCTAATTTTTACTCTGTTTAAAAGCTTTCATTTCGATCTGAACTTGGCACTTCAAAAAATTACCGCGAAAACGGTATTCATCGATTGGCTGTCATTCAGCTATGATCCTCCTGCCAGCTGGATGGTATGCATTGCATGAAAAAGAGGGCACCCCGCGCTATTTTATTGTCTGATGCGAGTCTGTATAATAAATGGAAACACCGTCTGGGCATAGTAGTGGAGGAAAGTGAGTGAACATGGGAAAATTTCCTGGCAAACCTTCCAAAATTGTGAATAGGAAAAGGGTTAAAGCGTCAAAGTGTTCTCCATCGCAAGAAAATGATTCAGTCAAAGCTGCTGAGAATATTTATTTCGGTCTTACTGTTTTCAATGAAGCTTTTGGAAGTGATCAGGTAGGCCTATAGTAGCTTTGGCATGAAATTATGATGTTACAACAGTTTTAATTATTTTTGTTATTATGTATATATTATGTCTGTGTTTTGGTGTGTTTAATGATTTAATTAATAATTGCCACTTCTGAAATATTAGTATTTTGTGCAGTATTTCGGCATACGATACCAAACATGGAAATAAATGGAAATGTCACCATGAAATGTCATGCTTGTTGTAGGAATTTACTTTCTTTATGTTCAGTGCATAGCATGTTGGAATGATGAAAACATATAATGGAATATAATTTATTTACATTCCAATGATCTTTCATAGGCTCAAGCCAAAGATGTAGAACATGTCATAGCACAAGTATAATGCTTATTTGTATTTGTTATTTTACAGGTAACAGAATTCCTTGGTTTCACAGCACAAGAATCAAGAGCGGCTGTGGAATATGCAAAGAAGCAACAGCGTGAAGTTATATATGAGTATGAAGCAAATGGACTTCATGTTTCATTAAGAGAGAATTTTGAACAAGAACTTTCCCATACAAAGTTCAGTGCATCATGTAGCTCATCAAAGCAGGAGATTATTACAAGTCAGACTCCTAAGCAACATAGTTTTGATTATAGCGAGAAAGTTAAATTAAATAGGAATTTTTCATTATCAAAAAAATTAACCCCTAAAAGTCCACCAGTGAACCCTAACCATTTAAAAAATAAGGCTGCAAAGAAGCTTCTTCAGAGAGCCAAGAAGTCCTCCAGTTTTGGATCAGTTGCAACTATAGATAGTTT